GAGAGAGGGGAAAGAAAGGGGAAAAGGAAAAGAGGAAGAAGAAAGAAGGCTGAAATATGAAGCTTTCAAAGATCAGTTCGTAGTGCAAGAACAAAACATGACTTCAGTAAATATCAGCATAATCTTTGCAGAGCTGTGGTTCTTGTAGTTTCTCTTGTCTGCTCTGTCCATCTCTCCCTGCACATAGGAGCAATTCTTGTATCTGGCTGGCCAAAGAAATACTGAAGAAACACATTGTGCACTGGAAGGCAGCAGGGGAAATGACCAAGAGGTGAATGGACCTGATGGCAGATGTGAGAAGAGTTCACAGCATGATTTCAGCCCAAAGAAGTCTTTTGCCTGCAAAAGAAGAAATGGGGAACCCAAGAAGAGCAAAGGTAAAGGGGGTGTAGGACTATCTTACCTCTTACTGTGACACTGGCAGAAGAGGAGCTGCTTCCTGCCTCATTTGAGGCAGTGCACACATAATGGCCTGAATCCTTGAGCTTAGCCAGAGGAATCTCAAGTGAGGCTATTTTGTCTTCAAAGTAAATCTTATAATCTTTGCCTGGAGGGATTTTGTTTCCATCCTTTGTCCACCCTACGGTTACTTTCCTGTCTTCATCTACCTGACATTCAAGACGTATTTTTTTATTGACTGCTGACTGCACTGACTGCAAAACTTTAATGAAGTGGGGCTTGTCTATAATGACCATTTCAGCCTGGCAAATGTCAGCCCCGAACTTGTTGGAAGCTTTGCAAGTGTAAACCCCTCTGTCATTGGTGGTGAGAAAGGAAATTTCTAACACATGTTTATTTTCCACTTTGAAGATCTTGTGGTGATCTGAAGGTGAAATGGTCGTGTCATCTTTCTGCCAGGCGACGTCGATGACTGGAGTGCCTGACACAGTACACAGGAACTTGGCACTTTTGCCCACAAAAGTAGTGATAGATTCAGGTCTGGTAAGAAACGTTGGTGGAAATGCTTCTGCAAAACAAAAGGGTTCAATGTTATCCAGAAGTGAGCACCAGACCTTAATCTCTTTCTCCACATTTGCTAGGGACAGAGAGCAAGAGGGGCTGGTTTGTCACTGGACACTCTTAAGCAAAAGAAGCCAGCAGTGAAGGAGACAAGACGTTTTAAAGATTATGAATTTTAACTTTTGTTTTGTAATTCTTAGGTCTGTATATTGTTCCAGAACTTGAAAGTATTTTGAATCTCTGGAGCAATGTACAAACTAAAGGAAAATAAACCAAAACCAGAACTTCCTCCCCCAAGACTGACATGTTGGTGCACTATTCCCTCAAGATGGACAAGTTTGCATGCATTTCACAGATTGTGCACCTTTCTTTAGTCTTTAGCATCTGGCACTTAGCAAAGACCACATAAAGACTCGTCCCACAAAAAGAAAAGTCAGAATTAAAAAATCACCATACACTAAAAGTCCAAAAGATGGTGGAGTTTTTTAAAGAAAAAAAGATAATTTTATAGCTCTTAATAGACAAAAAAGTTTGCAAACTGAAGCACCTTTAAACCCTCTTTTTTTGTTTAAGAAGATCTATTTCCCTAGTCACACAGAATTCCCCTCTGGCGTTGGCACACAAATGTTCGGGTACATGTAACTGCATAGCCTGACTCACAAGTATAGCTGCAGGATAAACCTAGGATGCTACGATAATCGCACAGTGATTATTACAGCAAAGAAATCAGATTTAAAAATGCATGTTTTCTTGTTGTCTGGATGTTGTTATGTTGCAAGTTACACAAACCTTCTTCAACAATGTATTCATAAACCAATCCCATTCTGTCGTCAATCTAGTTCCTCCCATTCTCTCTTTCCCCCTTCTTCCTTCCCCTCTAAAACTTTTCACAGTGATTCATACTGTACATTTTAGCAGGCAGAGAAAACACCTAAAAGCAGCATTCTCAAAAATTATTCCTTCTCTATGCTTGTGTCTGCCAAAATTAGGTATGGATTATATATAGCAGCAGCAATCAAGAGCCCCACCATAAACGTTTGTAAATATAGCAGTGAAAGCATTGCAATATATCAAGATATTTTATGGAGAAGAAGTAGTGCTTGGAAATCTGTACTTACCAGTTACAGTTAAAAGGGCTGTAGAGCTTACACTGCCATGCTGGTTGGAAGCCTTACAGCTATACTCTCCACAGTCAACAACCTGAGGCCTCGGGATCTCCAGTGTGGAGAGGTAGTTGGAGGTGCGAATGGAATATTTGTCTCCATCATATATCTCTCGTCCAGCTTTGTACCACTGGAACTTGACATTGGGAGCAGTCTCTACCTCACAGGTAAACTTGGCCACGTGATTTACAGCCACCTCCAGAGATTCGAGCCTTCTCCTCAAGATCGGTGCAACTGAAATGAGAAGCAGAGAGTAACTCAAAGCCCTGCCTGAGGACATTCTGGAAAGTAAAAAGGTGATTTACTTGCAATCCACATAAAGTGACTGTAAAAGAAAAATGTATCTGTAAGAAATGAAAGCAGTACCAAGCTCAGTGGACAGACAGTGCTACAGTGCATAATGACATCAGGAAACACAGTGGCGATACTGGAAAAACAATGTGCAATAGCAATGCACAATAACAACGTGATACAAACATGTACCACACTATCCTGGAGCTATAAGAAATTATGGTGTGAATGAGAAATTGTGCTAAAATTGTGCAATTACTCTAAACAGTAAGAAAGGGTGCAGCAGTGAGAAAAGTGGGAAGAGCAGGTCCACTTCACAGGCAGCAATTGGAAGAAGTGGTCAGGACTGAGATACACCTTGTCCTGACTGTGCTTGTGTGATAAGAACAAGAAGCAAGACAGTTCCTGACCAAACACTGTGGTGAAGGAAGTGAGAGATTTTGCAATGTGATAAAAGGACACCATAAATCCAGAGATAAAGGGGCCATCTAATTAGGAACATGATGGTGTTAATATTGTATCTGTATCCAAAGAGGCAGACACATAGTAGGGCAGTTTCATTAGTAGAACAGTGTATTAGAAAGGCAGTATTTCATCCCCATAATCCAACCTCTTTTAACAACTGTGAGTTTTGCTGCTGTTGCTCTTTTTCCACCTTGATTCAGAGCCTCACAGGTGTACTCTCCTTGGTGAATCTCCGTGCACACTTTGCTTAATACTAGTGTGTATGTGTCCTGATCTTGCAAACACTTGAATTTGTCGCCTGAAAACACCAGTTTACCTTCAAAGTACCAGTTCACCTCACTGACATTTGATATGACAGCCACCAAACTGACATTCTCCCCTTCCTCCGCAACAGTGTCAACAAGTTTGCTGTGAATGATGGGATAACTCTCTTTGTCCAACTCATCCGTCAGCTTCACATCTCTAGTTTCCAGACCCTCTCTACCCTCTTTCTCACATATTTCTTCCCTTTTCTCCTTCCTTTTCAGTATTTCTGTGGGTATCTCAATGGGAACATCTATGGGGGCTACATCAGCAGTGGCTGCAGCTGCGCCCACATCCTTGATTTGACCATGCACAGTCACAGTGTTGATTACTTGTGCAGATAAAGGCTGCTCCACGGGTATTTCTGCCTCCATAGTCCTCTCAGCTTGCTGGGGTTCCAGCTCTGAGGTTTCATTGTAGTATTTTCCTGAGAGAAGTGGACTTGGATGGACTGGTAATGCTTTGGATTTTTCATCTATCAAGAGATGTTTTTCTTCACAAATAAGAGAATAGAAAGCCTCCTTCAAGATAGTTTTCTGGTCAGCTGTCTGAATACTGACTTCTTCCAGGGAGACTGGGATTTCTATGGGACTGAGTCCTCCTGCGGTCACAACATAGGTGCATAGGGTGTGTTTATGTTCCTTTGTTATGTTTATTGTCTGCACTTCAATGTTTTCTTTATCAGTCAACCATTCTGAAAATAAGAGGTTTTGCTCACTTACCACTGCAGCTTTCAGTGCATTTCTAATTTGAGACTTTACGTCTAACTTACAGCTCTTGGGAACTTCAGCAGTAAGCTGGCTCTCCTTGTTGAGGACTTGGCTTGGCTGGAGCTGGTGCGTGTACATTGTTTCATGGGGTTGTCTCCCTGCCCTTGGACACTTCCTAAGTGGACTGGCAAGATCAATGACATGTTCTTTCTCCAGGGGCTGGTTTTCTTTTAGCAGCAAGGGAAATCTCACATTCTGTCCCTCATGGATTCTGGCAGCAAAATCTTCCTCTGCTGTTTCCAGGGAAGATATGTTCTCCAGAGGAACAGCTTGGCTCCCAGTGAAGGCCAGTTCAGAGGGAAATCTGGGTTCAGCCTTCAGTTCACCTTGCATTGCCTGGAAGCCCTCAAGGACCTGGATGTGGTCACCATCTATGGCACAGCTCTCAGTGGTGCTTGACATTTGTAGAAGGGCTTGGGAAGCCTCTGTCTTCAGAGCAGCCGTTTGTTCTGCTGTCTTGGTGATTAGCTGCTCTTTGGGCAAGAGTATCTGTGCAGCTACAGTCCCAAGGCAGGCTGGCAGTTGTGTCTCCATGGCTGCTGCAGGAACCACACCCTGGGGGCCAGCAGGGAGGGTTTGCAATGGCTCTGCCAGAAGCCTGCTGCTCTCTTGTGTTGTGGCCACCTGGGCAATCATCTCTTCAACACTCCGTGCAGCCAGGCAGGCTGGTGGCAGGCCAGGCAAGATGTCTTCCCTGGGCAACACGTGCTCCATCTGGCTTGTCTGAAGCTGAAGGAGGGCTGGGGGCTCCCTTGTGGCCTCAAGGCTGAGCGCTCCTTCTATGGCAGGAAGCTCACCAGACTCTTCATAGGAGAGGAGACTTTGGTCCTCTGCCACCGCAGAGTGTTGCAAGGCTGGGCTGTGCCTGCACACAGCATGCTCCTCAGGCAGCACAAGGAGCTCAGCGGAGCATGTGGCCTCGCCTAGGGCACTGAATGCCCTGCATGTGTAGAGCCCAGTGTCCTCCTCCATGCACTCCCGCACTGTCAAGGAGCCTGAGCCATCAGGGTGGTGAGCAACAGAACGACGCGCGTTGGAGAAGATCTGCTCACTCCCCTTGAACCACTGCACATCAGGACATGGCTCCCCGGCCACGGTGTACTCAAAGATTGCTGTGAAGCCTGGTGGACACTGCACGCTGTCTGGCTCCCTGGCAAAACAAGGGACCCCTGGTATCAGTTGCTGCACCTGGAGGTAGGCACTGCATGTGGTCTCACCGTGTACATTGCTGGCCACACACGTGTACTCACCTTCATCCTGTACACCCACATATGGGAGGATGAGGCTGTGGTCATTGCCAGCAAACACTAACTTACAGTCCATGGATGGGGTTAGCTTCATACTGTTGAAAAACCACTGGATTTTGGGTGTGGGGCTGCCACTAACTGTAACAGAGAGCCTAGCTACATCTCCCTGCCGGACTTTAACATTTGAGAGCTCTTTGAGGAATACAGGGGCTTTGCCCCCTTCCTCCATTTTCATCTTTGCTTTGCTGGAATAAACTGTTTTTTCAGGCTCAAATTCAAGTGTTTTCTCTCTATCAGACAACTGAAGGCTGCTGCTGTAGCCTTCACTTCTTCCTTCCTCAGAAGACACAATAAGAGTGCTAGCAATGTCTGTATGGAAAAAAAAAAAATAGTTTTACTAGAATGTTTATGAGAACACTTGTAGATAGCAATAAGAAGTGTTAGTGCAACTATTTTTGTATATCTGGAGGCATTCTCAACACTGTACAGCAGTTAATAATGAACATGAGGTACTATTGCTATCAAATACATACCTACCAAAACCAAAAAGCCATGCTGTGCTGTCAGATTACTTATGAACTTCCCATGTGGATCCTCATGTATGTCTCTTTAAATCTGACATCACAGTATGGGTTAGGCATACCCCTAGGGTGTACAGTGCAAGTAACAGTCAAGCAACATTGCTGCATTTCACAAATACAATTAAAGTGGTATGTGCCATACATATTTGTATGTACACTCATACAAACAAGTACAGCAGAGCAGTGCTAAGACCCTTGTTTAATTTAAAAAAACAAGAAAAAGCAGAATGCCAGAATTAGGTTTGGAAAAATAACACAAACATTTCAGCACATAAACTTTCTTATGGTGCAGTTAGTTCATCTCTTTCAACCCTACCTTTTGTCTAACACGCTGAAACACCTCTCCCTTACCAGCTTCATCCTGTTTTTGTCATTAAACCCTTATGCTTACAACACCATTATTACTAAAATAATGTGTTTGCACTCTTCATTCAATGTCATTGATTTAAATCTCTGCTTTTAAATTCCTTCCTGTCACATTGTTGCATATTTAGATTCTCATAATAACAGAGAAAAAGGACAGAGGACTTTAAGGTTTTATGTGTTGGACCACGTTGTTCCAATGGTGGTTTAAAAATGAGAGGAAGCAGATGTCAAGAACATGTCATTCTCTCCTGACACTTGACACTAGAAACATCAGTAAAATGAATGGAACAAGCCATCCATGAAAAGCACGGCGCAAAGAAAACTTTTGGAAATCAAATCCTGTTGTTCTCACTGAGTCAAGTTTGTTCAGTTAAGGCCCACAATATTTGATGCTGGAAAGATATGAGAGTTGTCGAAAAAGAATAAAAGAAGTATGAGTGGCTAAATGTCTCCAGGCACTCTGATGGTGAACCTAGATAAGTCTCTCAATTACAGAGTCTTACATTCCAAAACTTATTGTGAGGTAATAATTTTTGCTACACTCCAATAACAACTATAAAGAAGAACAGAATATGCCATACCCAATTGGTTTTAGCAATTATTAATCTTACCACAAATGCCATAATATACATGACATAGCACAGTGCATACAGTGATTAACTGCAGAAAACAGATGCTTGGGTAAAAAAAAAAATTACACCAGTCCTTCAACATTACCTACCAGCCATGTTAAAACAGTAGGGCAGTTTCCCCAGAAATACAATGTGCTAGTAAATTTGAGAATGGGTGGCAGAATTTGGCCCATAATAAAGTGTAAAAATTGCAGAATGGATCCTATGCTAACACACACATAAGAATGCTTTACATACAGGAGTGTGGCAAAAATTAATGTAGTCTTGTGTATTCCTGGATATTTATGACAGAAAAACTATACAGATACTTTTAAATATTTTAGCTATGTCTGTGAAATGAATAAAGTACAAGAAGTGATGGACTTAAGTAATTTACGTATTTATTTCACAAATTAACCGTACATGTTAACATTCAACACACATTGATGACAAACATAATTCATCGTTTTTTTAAGATACTTTATAGAAATGAAGATGACATTCACCTGACAATGAATTTGTGAATTTTGTAATTCCTAAGAAAGCACAAAATTTTGAAGAGAGATAGTAAATCATGGCTCTAAGCTATACCAGTTGCCCCAGAATAAGTTTATCCAAAGCTGGAATTGCTCTAGATTTATATAATTGTAGCTTAGGTGAGACTTTGTCTCTTTGTAAGCACATGACAGTGCTCCTGGCTAATGTATGAAACTTAAAACAAGACTTTTAAACAGACATAAACCACAAACACCACTACACAGGTAGAGATAAAGATGCTTGGCTATGTATTTCAGATGTTAACATGAACTTGAACTGTTTGGCTTATGGCTTTGAAAACAAGTTATGGGCCTGTTTCTACTAAAAATTTCAGTAAATGAACATACAAATTAAAACCACATCATAATTGCTTAGGACCTAACCAAAGGGCCTCTGACCTCTTTGGCTTCAGACCTAAAAGACCCCTTATGTCACAGCTGACATGTAACATCAGACAATTCATGCCAACTTCCCTAGGGACCTCTGCTGTCTAATGAATCAGTTAGTGCTACACATCTATGCAAGGAATGGATTAAGGACACATCATGAAGCAATTCTTTCCCAGCACAATGTTGGGTCAGACACTTATGCTCCTCTTTCCTACCACCATTACCTATAAGAAATCACAAATATCTCTGCCTTTTAACAACATACAAATCTTAAATATTTATCACAGAGTCATGACTGGAAAGAAACTGAAGCAACACACTGGTATTAGCTTAACTCCAGTCATTTTCCCCTTGTACTAGGTCATTAGACCTTGCTACTCCTGACTTTAAGTTTATACCGGGCAACACAATTGGGCAAAGTGAATCTTTTGATCAAAAATTACTATCCCAGGTGAGTGATGAGATAGTCTTAAAGATTATTGAGTTTTTGAGACATGCTGGCCTCAGTGTGAGAACACATCAAACTCAGAAATAAGAACATGCATGAACATATCTGAATGTACTATAGGAATAATTCTTTTACGCTTAAAATCATGATGCTCCTTAAAGCAGTTTTTAAGGTAACTGAGAGCAATTTGTAAATAACTAAGAACTTCAAACAGGTAATCAAAGGAAAAATGATTTTTCCTTAGGGTTGTTGAACTCAAGGTTACACCTTGGCATATAGGTAACTGGAAAGCTGGCACACATATTAGAGAATTATTTAACTTCTGATAAACATTAATTATTAACTCCCATACTTTTAACATATTTTCTTAATCAATTTATTATTATTTATGTAAGATAGATTTAGTTCTGATTTAATTATGTCAGCTACTGCTGATTCCTCCTAAATATTAGCATTACTTTAAATACAAAAATATATACTCACATTGAGAACATTAATGTAAAAAATCTCTTCTGCTGAGAAAATGCCACAGATAACAATTGAATGTATTCTACTTATTTCTGGTCATCTTGACACATAGCACATTTAACTGTTACTGATTAAAAAAAACCAACAAAAAACCCCACAAAAACCAAAAAAAAGAATATGTAGAGATTTAATTCTAACATGAAACAAGAATCCTGCATAAAAAATCTCATTTTTTACTAGTATATATGTTTTTATGAATGACACTGGAATATGGGGACAAGTAAAATTATTTTAATGAATTTACAGTTATGTCATTGATTTATTATTCTTCCTCTGCTTTCCCTTTAACTTCTAAAGATAAAGTACAAAATATGTTTTCATGTTTATTACTTGGTAATAGAGAAAAAAATCCTGTCCAGTCTCTACTAACACAAAACTTGCATTTTCTTCCCATTGTGTTGCTTTTCTTTACAACAGCATATTTCCATTGACTTAAAAAAAAAAAGTCATTTCATTCCATGAGGCAGTAGAATAAGGCTCATGGATGTAAGAATTTTGCAGTGATAGAAACTGTAAACACAGGATTTGAGTCAGTGAGACACATGTTCTGACACAACACCGTGAGAAGGGGAAACACCAGTTTAATGAATTATTTTATAGAATTATATCCAAACTAAACAGCACGCATAAGTTAGTATTCCATACCTTTAGGTTGCAAAAAAAGGTGGTTTCTACATTTTCTGATCATTTTTAGCCTACATAAAACAATACTGATAGCACTGTTATAGACATACAGGAATATGTACACTGTACAAAAAAATTAGTCCTACCCAAATAAGTCTCAATCAAAATATCTTTACAAGAATGAGTAAGGAGCTTGGAAGTAGACTGAAATATAGCTTTGTGCAGAAACTGTGCACAAAGACCTATGCACAGACTAAATCTCACTTGAATTCCCCAACAAAGGCAAGTTTAAGTGAGACAGATACATGCCCATGTAGAGTGGTTTTCATCCCTAAAGAGATGAAAAACAATGCCCCTAAAATGTGTGCTGCATTTTTACCTGCAGTAAACAACAGCCTAAAAACATTTACTGTTTCAAAAGGGACTCTGAAATAAACTATGGAAATTTTGTATAATGTTAACACAGCATGAGTCTCAGCAGTTCCTGCCCTGTTAGTAGCTATACATTTGTACTGCCCACTGTCACTTTTCATCAAGTTTTCAATACTAAGGTTATGACAGTCCCCCTGCTCTTCCTGCACACAATACCTGTCCCCTTCCAACAACACCTCATCCTTGTACCAGTGGACACTTGGGTGGGGGGAACCAGTCACGAGACACTGGAAGCATGCTGAGGCACCTACAAATGTACTGTAGTCAGAAATGAGCCTCAGGAATTTGGGAGGGGCTTCTATGACTCAAAGCTGCAGCTTTCCAAGTCCTCTGCCCTAAGTTCAACCTGTTCCTCTTGGGATGGCTCAGCAAACACATCAAAACTAATGCCCGTGACTGTCTCACTGCTTGCCTTAGCACTTGCTCCCTGCTGAGCCATGACTACGAGGGAGCCTTTGCACGTTGCTTCTCCCAGCCTATTGATTGCTCGACAGTAATACCAGCCACCATCAGAAGGACCTACATTTTGGACCTTCAGACTGTGAAGTCCCTCCTTCTGACTCACAACATACTTCCCTGTGGCAGGTGTCACACAGATGTCGCCTCTGAACCACTGCACTACTGGGATAGGAGTACCTGTTACCACACACTCAAACACTGCCTCTAAGCCTTCTGTTACCTCGATATCTGCAAAGGGCACAGCAAAGCGGGGAGGCATTTCAGTTACTTGGAAATCGATTTTTACATCCTCATTCTCCTCTGCGGCCAAGCCTGTAGCTTGCTCCAACAAGGCAAGTGGAAGGACATCCAGGGAAACCACCATGCTCTTCTTATCTGGGCTAAACTCAGGGCTGGTTATGATTTTTACCTGCTTCTCAAACTCCTTCACCTCATTTTCATCCAGCTCCACTTCCAGGAGGATTTCCTGAGGTGAAGGTGACCTTGAAGATGTGTTTTGCTCCAGGTCAAAATGTATAACATGTTGGTGGGTGACAGGTGGTGGCAGTGCTAGTGACCGCCCATCTTCAGACAAAACTTCCACCTGCGCAATACTTTTCGCTTCCCCGACAATGTTCACTGCATGGCACAGATACTGTCCTCCGTCTTTTTTCTGGACATTAGTGATCTCCAGCACACATTTGTCCCCATCCTTCTCTATCCTCACTCTCTCATCCAGCTCCAACAGAGATTTATTATGATACCACTTCACCCCTGGCTTGGGCACACCCACCACCTCAGCCATAAAGCTCAGTGTGCTGCCCTCATATAGCCTCCTCCTGCTCAATGCCTTGAGGAATGCAGGTGGCATCTCCTTGCCTGATGGCTCCAGGGCTTCACAGGGGGTCCTAAACACCTCAGCCTGTACCTGGTCTGGAGGCTGCTGCTTTCTCTCACAGAGGGGGAGCGTGGCCAGGGCATCCATATACTCCCCAGTGGGAGTCCGGTAGCGCTCAGGTGGTGTGCTGTCCCCTGATGCAGAGCAGGGTCCCTCAAAGGGTGTGAAGTAGGACTCCAAGGGTGTGTTGCATTTTGAACCCTCAGAAGGTGTGGAGTAGTGCTCAGGTGGTGTGCTGTACACTGAGCCCTCAGATGGTGTGGAGTAGCGCTCAGGTGGTGTGCTGTATCCTGAGCCCTCAGATGGAGTGGAGTAGCGCTCAGGTGGTGTGCTGTATCCTGAGCCCTCAGATGGTGTGGAGTAGCGCTCAGGTGGTGTGCTGTATCCTGAGCCCTCAGACGGTGTGGAGTAGCGCTCAGGTGGTGTTCTGTATCCTGAGCCTTCAGACGGTGTGGAGCAGTGCTCAGGCGTGCTGATCGGAGTGTGGTAGGATGCTGATGAAGCAGTTTCAAAGACCTCCACTGAGGAGGGAGGTGTGTAGAAGCGGTCTGAATCAGGTGACTCCTCTCCGCTCCTGGTCTCTAGCTCTATAGACATTTCCGACTCAGGAGAGAAGGGCCGGATGAGTTCCTGCTGGTTGTTGTAATAGTCATAAACCATGCTGAAGGTAACCTCCTCCACTTCCAGTGAAGTGATGGTCTCCTGCTGCTCCTTCTGAGCTGTCCCTTTGAAATCTGGAGCTTCCTCTATCCCAGTTGACTTTAAATACTTGTCCAGGGACAAGTCAGGCTCCAGCTCTGAGGCTGGAACAACACTGGGCTCTGGACCTGCAGAAATATCCTCCCACTGTCCTTCTCCATACAGGCTATTCTCAGAGGCTTCCTCAGTGGGAATTCTCTTCTTGCCCCAAGAATCCTTCCTTTGCTCCTTTGGTGCCACGGGATCATCCATTATTAAACCAAGTAAGAGTTGCCCAAAAGAGAAGCCCTTGGTTGTGTTTGGTTCCTGTTGGATGTCCTTGAGCATCTCTTCAGGGGAATCTGTGCTTTCTATCTCACAGGTGGAGCTGCTTATTCCTGTTTCAAAGACCTTTTCTATCCCAGAGCCACCTTCCTCCTCATTCTGATGCCTAGCCTGAGGTTTCTTTTCATGTGCAGCTTTTTTCAAGTCAATGATGAAGCTGTCACTGTGGGAGTCTGTGGTCTCCAGTCGTTCCCCACCCTCCCCCACATGTGTTTCCTGCACTCCTTTTTGGAAATCTGCTGTGGACTCTGACAGAAAGCTATGAATTTGTCCCTCAAGTGAATCCTCCCCACGGACACTCTCCTCTGACTCATGAATTTTTTCAGCAGAAGATCCCTCTTCAGCAGATATCATGATGCTGCCAAAGTCCCCATTAGAGATCTGCAAAGCAGCTCTTCTGATTTCTCTTGGCTGTGCCTTTTCCTGGGCACTGACCTCCTCCTGTTGCACCCTGTAGCTCTGACGCAGCTTCTCACCCAGAGACATCTCTTCCACAATTTCATCACGTTGTTGCACAGAGGAGATGAGTCCAGTCACTCCTACCTCCACACTCTCCAGGGCTGTGGAGGTTTGTGCCTGTTCTGTGTCCATAGTCTCTGCAGCTGGGAAAGGCTCTACAAACTTCTTCAGATCAAATATGATACTGGTCTCATCAGCGTCAGATGGCAACAACTGCTCTTTGAAATGCAGTTCTTCTAGGTGAACTTCAACTTCCTCCGTAAAAACCTGACCTGAGTTTTCTATGCCAGGAGGAGTGAGGATTAGATCCAAAGAAGAGTTGCCTGCATCAGACTTCATTTCTTGCAGCATTTTTTCATTATTGTGCATTTCCCAGTGTGCAACATCCCCAGCATCAATCGCTTCTTCTTTACAAAGATGATCATCAGCCTCGATGTCCTGATCAATATCAACTGATCTCTGTTGCTCCTTGGCCTGTTCCTCCTGCTGCTCTTCTGTACAGAAGTCATAAAAGCCAAACTGCTCCTTTGTGGGTGTGCTTGCAATATTGTCTTGCAGGTGGAGCACACTTGGCTCTTCTACAAGAGGCACATCAGGAGACATTGCCTCCCAGGCAGAGGCGTCGCTCTCCTCCATGTAAATATCACTCCCCTCTTGCACCACAGGTGATATAGGAATGAAAAATTGTGAATCCTCACATTCCCTTGCCAGAGCAGCTCTATCAGAGGGGTGTGTTTGCCCTTTCACTTCGATAAATGCTGACTTTAGGATGTCACAGGACAGAGTACCTGTATGTGGTACCACCTTGTCTCCTTCAGCCTCTAGCTCCTCTGAAAAATGACCTGAGTCCTTGGCTACCAGTTCATGTTCTTCCCTGGACAGGTTGGGGTGCAGCTCAGTGTCATCAATTCTAAAGCTGTGTTCCTCAGAAACAGTTGTTCCGCTATGCTGCCTCATCTCAGAAATACCATCTGTATCCCTCACACTTTCTTCTGTATAACCCGTTTCTTGCCTTGCATAAACCTCCATGATATCCAGCACCTTTGTTTCCTCCATCTCACTTTCCCTGAAGTGAGGAGTTTCCTCACACTTCTCTTCCAACTGCTCACCAGGAGATGGAGACAGCTTCAGGGACCAGGCTAGGTGGGTTTCCTTCTCCTTGGAGCACATAATCTGTTCATCTTCATCCTTCCCAAGTGTACTGAGGCCTTGGAGGTGCAGAACATGGTCCTTGGCACGCAGTTCCTCAGTGCCTCCATCCTTGCTATACAACCTGGGTGCACTGGGCTGCACTGTCAGCTCAGAGGCAGTCTGTGCTGTTCCAGACACATTGTTGGCCACACAACAATACAGCCCAGCATCTGCAACAGAGACCTCTTGGATGTGTAAGCGGTAGATACCATTCTTGCCTTCCTCAAACCTCAGCCTCTCACTGGCAGAGAGGTTTTGGCCATTCAGGGACCAGGCCACAACTGGTGGGGGCTGCCCAGACACAGCACACTCCAACACCACTGCTTCCCCTTCTTTGCAATGAATGTGTGCTGGGACCTCTGCCACAACTTGGGGTGGCTCATTTCCTACATCAAATGAAAACTTGAACTTGTGCTTTATGGTGGGAGCAGCCTGGTCAGGAGAGGGATGCGTAGTCTCCCTCACCTCTGTGTCTTGCTCTGGTGTTGGAGTAGGGGCAGTGATTTTTATTTCCACAGGCAGTGACAGCAAGTCTGAATCTGGAACTGCACTTGGCAGTCCCTGCTGTACTGTGAAGGCCAGGCTGACAACTTCTTCTTCCTCCTCATCCACCTTCTCCTCCTGCTCCTCCTTCTCTTTCACCCCTTCTTCTTCTGCCTTCACCTTCTCCTCCTCTTCCTCCTCTTTCTTATCTTTCTCCCCTTCTTCTGTCTTCACCTTCTCCTCCTCTTCCTCAGCCTCCTCTTTATTCCCTTCCTCCCCTTTCTTTGTGGCCTCATAGGCTGGCATTCGCCGCCTTACATGGAGTGCAGCTGAGGTGCTGACTGTGCCCAGAGGGTTGAAGATCACACAGGTGACGGTGCCATCATGCTGTGGGAGCAGGGATGGGAAGGTCAGTGTAGAGCGGCACTCTGTGGTGTGAACAGCAGTGCCTTGGATGCGCCCCACAGGGTTGGTGTTGTTGTACCAAGTGACTGTGGGTTGTGGGCGGCCATGGAAGAGACAGGAGAAGGTGCATCTGTGCCCCTCAACAGCCTCTTGGGACTTGATCTCCTGGACAAAGAGGGGTGGGCAGGGCTCCAGGAGCCCACCTGGCATCTGCCATCTCTCTCCTGCAGCCTTGGGCCTACGGTACGCCTTCACTACCTGCACCACGAGGGGCTCTGAGCCATCCATCGTGGCAGCTGCCTCAGGTGGACTGGGCTTCCCAGAAGGGCCCTCCTGGGGCATGGACATGAGGGATTCCTGCTTCTTTTTCAGCGCTGCCCTCTTTGCCTCCCGCAGCCGCTGCAGCTTCCAACGGATCTCCTCATCCAGCAGCTCCTCAGCCTCTGCCACTGTGCCACTGTGCTCCCTACCACGTACCAGCCCTGGACGATGAGGCCCGACCAGTGGCAGCTTCTGGAAACAGATGGTTCGTACCATGCCCCGGGCTGGGGAGATGTTCCCAAGCAACTGCTCAGCCTCCTGCCCCTTGTCAAAGGGCGAGCCAGTGCAGCGGAGCACCACCCGCAGCCGGTCCTCCCGCTGCTGCTGCAGCAGGTGGTCCCAGCTCTCCCTCATCCACTCTGCTTTCCGTGTGAAACCCGAGCCCTGCTGCTTCCCACTGCGTGCCACCAGCAGGGAGGCAGTGGACTCAGCTGAGCCCTCACTGTTAAAGGCAAATACCCTGTAGCTGCCAGCATCGTGCTCCCGCACATCCCGCACCTCCAGGCTGGCATGGTGCGTGTGCTCCTCGCTCTCAGTGCGGATCACCTTGCGGCAGTCCTGGTGGACTGGCCGGTTGTTGTGAAACCAGGCCATATGGGGTGCCGGGCATGCCAGTAGCTTGCACTTGAAGAGTGCAGGGTCCCCCTCCACGACAGATCTACACTTGAGTCCCTGTGTGAAGGTGGGTTTACAGTTCTGGGTGCAAGCCAGCACCACTGCTGTCTCAGGTCCCTCGAGGTTCTCCTGGCTGTGCTGCTCTGCAAGAGAAGGAGACCGAGTTATAACACGCCACACCCTGTCTACCATCCAATTGAAAAAAATGAAATAGCAATATGTTGAAATAAAAAATGGGCATGCAACAGATTTCATCACACACCCAGGAAAAAAAAGTAATTCACTCACCATATTTGTTCGAATAAACGCAACGCCTTGCTCTGTTTTAAAGATTGACACGAAAATCGTTCGTTGTCTGTTCTTTCTTCAGACTGTGGAAATTTCTTCTTGAACAAGCAAAAATTAATTTCAAAATAACACGTTCTTCTGCGTGTATGTTTTTGCTGCCTGGAAAAGCTGTGTGTCTTTGGGTAGCAAAGAAGAAAATCTTACCTGACTTGCAGACAGTAGAATAAACGCCCTTTCTGACCCTTCTGTTTGTAGATTAAATGTTCAAACAATTGAGAAAAAATATTTTGAAAGATATCTTAAAAAAAAGTAAGTAAGTAGCTAACATGAAATGAGAAGGCGTTTATTCGAACTAATACAGCCACTAACTTCACAGTGTTATGCAGAGGGAAAAAAGCAAGCAACATGAACCACGTATGCTATCTGCAAGCCAGAGTAAGAGATGTATAATGATGAATTAATGTATGTAAAAAAGTGCAAGGAAACAAGGGGAATGTGTAGCTTTCACATATCCTAAACAACAAATGCTTCCTAGTATAGTTCATCCATCCATCCATCCAATAGTGTCCATTGAACTGATTAATGTTAGGTTGCTAACTTGTTTAAGAATAATATGATTAAGATTTGTATAACTTCCTTCTGAAGTAAACTATTCCATGCATTCAAAAGGAAATTGAACAAATAAAAGCTCTGTGAACAGCTGCAAAGCATGAAGTAAAAGTTAAGAATATAGCTACAAAATTATAAATTTGAAGTTTTAAACATATTTTAAAACTTAAATAACCTTATAATGCAGGTAACCCTTTGCATATCAAAACAAACATGCAACATGTTACAATACGCTTTAAAGTGTGTCTTTCCCCATCAGACACTATATGTAAGCTTTTCACAATGTTACTAATTAATGGTACCAATTATTCAGTGTAACATCATTGGTGACTGTACCTTTCACTTCCATCTCGATGTCTTCCTCTAGCTTCTCATGTATAATTTTTTCAGGAGCTAGAATAAAAAAATAAAGATTTTTGAGACATAGTTGCTAAACGTGCCAATCAACACTTCATGTAGTAAAAACATCCAATCTCTTGCAAACATAAATTCACACATACATACACATAAATGCATGCTAAAATTCAAACACTTGATAAATTTTGAGAAGAGAGTAATCAAATGCTTTCAAACTTGTTCACAATGTACACTTTTCTATAAGATTTGCTTTCTTTTTTGCAGGGTCGGGGAAAATTTCTAATGTAACATGCCTTTATCATGCCTTAAATCCCTGAAGAAAAATATTCAACAATACACCATCTAATGAGATGCTTCTCTTTATCAGCTCCCAGGGAATGAATGTACTGGAATGCAATGATGCTATGCATAAGGAATGGACACTTGGAAGGAGCATGCAGTTGCCAACCTGTCACTCTCAGATGGGTGCTGCACTCGGCTTGTCCTGCAGGATTAACTATTCTGCACTTGTATATACCCTTGTGGTTCTGACCAACTTTCAACAATCTTAAACTGCACAGTGGCCCATCATGTTTTAAGGAACAAAATGCGGACTCCTCAACTATTAGTTGATTGTACAGCCAGACCACGCAAGGTGTAGGCACACCCTTCATGATACAAAAGAGTAACACATCATCTCCTTCTTTTACAGTGGTTTCTGAAGGCAGAGTTTCAAGAAACTCTGGTGCTTCGGTGTCAGTTTCTATGATGTCTTCACATGGCACAACATCAGGATAGTAGACTCTGTTTCTTTGCATGTCAGCTTCATATGGTCTTTGGGATGTAGTTATAAACAAGCTTGAGATTTTCTTGGAAGATTCTTGCTTAACTTCAGATGCTTTAAACTGACAATCTTTGGCTGCTTTAAAGCTTTTAGTATCTGATTCAAGGGTAATTTTTGTTACTGCTTTGGCTTGTGCTTCTTTTGCTAGGTAAGAATAAAGTTAGGAAAAGGATTAGATCAGATGTTTTGCAGGAATAAAAAAATATCCTTATACCAAGGGGGAAAAACCCAGTAATTAGTATTGAAAGAATGTCCAGCATATTAGTGCTACAACAATGCTATTAAACATGAGTGGTTACACATTTCAGAGCTCTGTTCCTGCTGGGTTAATGCTAGGTGTCAGTTAAGCCTATGGGACTTTCACGGGACCAAGACTTCACCTGCAATGCCTAATAAAAGCACATCTTTACTTTTAATTAAGCACCTCAATTTAGAAAGTAGCAGCAGAAGATTATGTAAGGCAATTTGCACAGCTCAAGAGTGAAGAAAGAAACTTCAATGTGTAAGAGCCAAATCAACAGGGTCAATGGTTTCCTCATTATTCATCTTACTTTTCTGCTCTTGATTCCTTTGAGCACACCAGAAATACTATCACCTGTCCAGTGTGGTGATAATACATTTTTGGGTTTTCACTACTGGTAACACTACTAACATTTTAATACACAGGTGTCAGGAAGAAGTGGAGGAATCTTAGCAAAAATAAATAATTATATCTGAGGGAGAGGGAAGGATAGAAGACAATACATTAGTGCAGTAATACAATACTTGCACCCATTAATCCTTTCAAGTACGTTGACCTGTATTGCCAATCTTGAAATTTGAACCTTGGATTTATTAGAAACAAGTTGGACCCATAGAGTTTGAAATGACCAGGTATCTAGTTGAACATTGCTCCTCTGACATTATCGTCCTTAAACTACAGCTTCAGGAATTCTCAAAATGTAAAAATTCCTACTACCCTGTTTTGCTTTACATCTCACTGCATATCATGAAGGATATGAGGAATAAAAAGCTTCAAACATATGTGACTTGCTGGGAAGAGGCGTGAAGTTACAATACCAGCTCCCCAATACTGCATGTCACTTATGAAGAGAGTTGTAAATATGGAGGAAAAACCCCAAAGCATTATTCCTAGAGCATTCTCAATTAAATATAGATAATAAAGGAAATATGAGTGAGCTGTAGGCAGTGATAGTGAAGTTGCAAAAGGTAAGTTATAATGTTAAAAGTCAGATAACCACCTTTGACTGTTAGTATTGCAGCAGTTGTTGTCCCTCCATAATCATTATATACAGTACAACTGTACAGTCCTTGATCTGCCAGCTGGGCATTTAGGATTGTGAGCAGTAGAAAACTTCCATTTTGTGATATCTTCAATTTTTCAGATGCTTCTATCTTTTCACCTTCATGGGCCCAAAGAAACTCAGAGAAGAATTCATTTTGTAAGCCACATATGAACTGAGCAGTATCACCACATTTCACAGTTAGGTCTCTGAGCTGCAAGAGAATCTTTGGAGGGACATCTTTCATTTCCTTAGCAGTGGCCATAGAGGTCCTGGTGCTCTGAGATGTTTGGGAAACGAATTTTGTGTGCATGGCTTCCATTTCTTCAAGGGACGTAGCCTTCATGGTCAAACTTTCTGATACACTTTCAAAAACCTGTACACCCAGTTCTTGTGTCGGTTGTTGCACTGATTTAAATTCTTTTTGATAAGCTTTAATGTTCTTCTTTTTGAGAGGAGCAACATGAAGTTCTGATATAGCCTGTGACCGGATAGACTCTTTTACATCTTTCCCAGAACTTTGCCTATCTAGGGCTTGCACTGTGTAATCAAGTAACAAAAATAACAATATTAGTATCTAAAGAACTTTACTAGGCCATGCTCTGAACAAAATCAAACAGTATGGAGGATGAAAATGAATGATCTTCATTTGAAAACTCAGCATGCCAAATGCACTGTGCTCTGGACATTGAATGATTATCCATTCATACATATGAATGACAAGTGATGCCTAAGCTAGTCATGCAGTTGATACTTGTCTCTTCTTTCGCTGAAGTATTGGAAGCTTATTATGGAACTTTTTAAGGAGGTATTTTCTTTTTTGTTAGTTTGTTTGTTTTTTTACTACAGGATGGTACAAAATACCTCCAGTCAATGTTATAAAGATCATTTGATTACTGGTTTTAAAAATCTGGATGCATTCAGTAAAATGATTCTATTCTTTGATCTATATCAAGATACAAATTTGCAAATTTCTGAATGATATCACTTAAACAGAAGAAATGAGAGTGGTTGGGTTACGGAGTGTAGGTACTACTACCATTAGCTAGTAAAGAAAAGATATGAAACAAGGAAAGAAGAACATTAGTGACAGTGTAAAAGTGTGGTAGACAACAAACTGAATCCCTTTGAAGTAAAAATGGAGTTTTACCTTCTGCAGTCACTGTAAGTGTAGCTGTACAAGTTGTCTCTCCAGCACTATTTCTTGCCTTGCAAGAGTATTGGCCAGCATGCTCTAAGAAAGCGTCTACTATTATCAGTATAGCTGTGCCTGTAGACTCATCAAAGTGGAAAACTAAGTCCTTTGTTGGCAACATGAGTTGTTGATTATGAAACCACTGGATTTTTGGTTTGGGCATGCCAGAGACTCTGGCTTGAAATCTGACTGATTCCCCACTGCATACCCTGCAGCTTGAAATAGGCTGGATAAAGGTGGGCCTTTGGCCAATAGATTCCTCCTTAAGTGAAACAGATGAAGAAACATGCCAATGGGACTCTGATGTAACTTCTTCAACCTTTTTAAAGCCTGAAAAGAAGCATGCCAACTTTTAATTTCTTACCCTACACTACAATAAATTTTCTCTCTCATTTAAGATTTTTTTTTTAACTTGCAACTGAAGAGCATGAATTATTCTAATTAATCACTTACAAAATCTGTTGCAAAAAGAAAACAAGATATTTACGGTTAAATGATATCAAGGACAATATATAACTTAAATAGCAAATCATCCAGACAATATTTCTGCTCTAAAACTTTAGTCAGTATGTGATCATTTCATATGAATGGAAACTATTTTAGCTGCCCAAGTACCTGGTACACACCTCTATTTAACATGTTTTCCGGTACTTTCAAAGTAATTTATTTTATGCAAAACCTCTTACTAGATTCTCCTCATAGTCAAATCAAAGTATGTGTAAGCAAAGCACTTCCATTGGAAAGGTTTCTACCATGTTTGGTGCATGATGGTTTCTAAGACTGGAGAGAATGAAAAAGTGAGGTGCATGGAACATTGAAAAATTGTGAAATAAGTTTTCCTGTGCATGACCTATATTTTGCAGATATAAATGTATGCTGTGGACATTGTAAAAGGTAGCAATTAATTGAATTAAAAGACAACATGACAGACAACAACTCACATATAATCATCAGTGTATATTAAGATTAGTATTGGAGCATGACCTAAACAAGACATCTTCTTCAATTGCACACTGTACCTTCTAACTTCAAGGTAGCAGTGCTTGTCACTTGGCCAACAGAATTACTAGCCACAAAGGTATAGATTCCTTCATCCTCTGGATAAGCTTCAGCAATCTCCAGCTGGTAAGTGTCTTCAAACTGAGTCATTCTAAAAAACCGTGATGGCTTGATCTCTCTGTCTTTGCTGTACCAAGAGACCTTCAGATCTGCTTAAGAAGCAGCAACAAGAAGAAAAAATGTGTAAGTTATGGCATTAGACTAGTAAGTAAACATTGTTTTTATATTTGTATCTCTCAGAAACCTTAATCTCAAGTACTTTTTTTAAGTTTAAATGTGCCTTATATTACTTTGGTTATGTATGATCAATGGAAAGTGGCCTACTTGTTGCTTTAAGTTTTGATTTCTGCATTGAAAATATTTATGTTGGAAAACTGATTCTGCTGCTGTTATATTCCTGAGTAAAAATATTTTTCCCTTTCCACTCTTAATGTATTAATTTAAAAATATTTTGCTACTATTAAAATTAGAGAAAGTCTCATGTTTTAAAAAGAGATTCTGCTACAATTGCCTGATTAAACAGGATATAAAATCACTAAGTTGCGCTGAACAGGTCAAAGAAATTAATATGGAATAACCTTTTGCTGAAGACAGTACCTTGCCTCTTTTTGTTGCAAATACTACAAGTGTTACTTATAAGTTATAAATTTATAAGTTTCAAATTCCTCAAGAAAGATCCTGTTTTTGTACCTTTGTAAAATTTCTATATAAAATGTGTTAATTGACTTGCATAGGTTCTTGTAGACTTGGGAAAGAAGAGGACTGAAGCAGACTTCAACCTTGCCTCTCCACCTGGCATGAATCAAATGTTTTCACAGAAATAGTGTTATTACTGTCATCAGAAGAAAGACAGTTTTCAACAACCAGTTGCATGGCATGTGCCGTTAAACAATTGTATTTGCAATCACGTATTACCTAATACAATATGTTTTCACAGCACAAGTTAGAGGTATGGAAATTCATTTGGACACAGCATTCAATAAAGGAAATTTTTAATAGGAAAAATTTCTTCACCGAAAGGGTTGTCAAGCATTGGAACAGGCTACCCAGGGAAGTGGTTGAGTCACCATCCTTGGAGGTTATTTAGAAGACATGTAGATGTTGCACTGAGGGACACTGTTTAATGGTGGACTGGGCAGTGTTAAGTTTATGGTTGGACTTGATGATCCTAACGGTCTTTTCCAACCTAAACAATTCTATGATTCTATGCTTCTATGAAAGAGGACCTAGATTAAAGGATCCTTATGCTTTGTGCTGTAAATGCAGCTTCCACGTTCACAGAAATACAGTTTGTGTAAAAAAAGTTACACTAGCAGGCTTTGCACAGAGGGCAGGCCAGTCTTTCCAATATACATTTTCTGAGTTTTAGCACCACTTCTAAAGAAGAATCAGATTAGTTGTAAAGCTTTTTAAAAAAAGTTTGAAGTTTGATTTCAAGTTATAAAAATGCAAATTATATATATTTGCCTATATATATGTATATTACCAATTTTTCTGTGGCTTTTTACACAGCTATCACTCAGGATTATTTTTAAATTTGGAGTTTTAATTATCTTTAAATAATTTTAAATTCTTTGGGATTTGAATTGGATCTTATTCTGTAGTTTACCATGTGAATATTTTATTACTAGGCATACTAAAAGCCATTTACTGAAGTAAAGTAAGGTAGTTTTATTTGGGTTTGTGTTAACTTGGAAAGAATTATTTTAACTGTATAAAATATTCTATGTAATAAAAAGTAGCAAACTTATTTAAAGAAAATCTACACTTAAAAAAAAGAGCAAACACCTTTTTATGCTAGAAAAAAGCACACAATTGCAGTTTAGTTTGCAGAGTAGGACTATTAGGATAAAGGCTGAAAGACAGTTTCAGTCTTTTTAATTAATTTACATGACAATGTGCGTCATCAGAAACTTCCCCAGGTTCATTTAATGTGTTAATGTTTTTCCACCATTTTACTTGCTGTCAGCATTTTACTTGCTGACACAGTTTTCCAACATCAGTTAGCATTTGAGACACTGAGAAGTTTCCAAAGACAAATTTTTTGAAGTACTTCTTCTTAGAAATGCTTAATGTTTATGACAGTTTATAACTTCTATGCTTGATGCCATCTTTGACAAATGTCTTGCTTAACTGATAGTTGTGAGTAACAAATATCAAATAACTATCCTGGCACATATACTGTTGCATTTTTTCTGAGTTCAAGATGAAAAATTCTGATAGATGAAAAGATGTACAGGATTTCATTAAACTCACCTGTCCCTGTAACTCTGCACTGAAAACGTGCAGACTGTCCCTCGGATGTAACAGCATCACGTAGTGGTATTATGACAGCAGGTGGATACACTGGCACTTCTAGCTCAGGAGAAACAACTTCTGGGACTAAAGAATAAGAAAAAGAAGTCATGTTTAAAGATTAAGATGATCACACGCATGTTGACAATCTCATTTCACAGACACAGTTATGAGCAGGGAAAACTCACTTTCCACCAAAAGTGAAGCTGAAGTTGTAGCAACTCCGTAGTCATTTTTTGCTTCACAGGTGTACACTGCTGCATCTTCAGGGAAAGTTTCAATCAGCAATAGAGTATATTCTTGTGCATCATGAAGAAATTTGCACTTGAAACCTGGAGAAAGCTGTTGATCATCTTTGTACCAGGAAATTTTGGGCTGGGGTTTGCCTGATATCATAGCACAGAAGCGAGCAGGTTTGCCAGACTCCACAGTGGTTGGCTCTAGCTCCTTGATAATCTGGGGTGGCTCTGGAGCTGCAAAATGAGTGGGGTAATGGGAAGGGAGAAAGGAGGAAATGGAGAAATCTCATTATTGATACTTATCAAGGCTTCAAAAATATTAGCAAGGATTTTATTTTTTTTTAATCTTATTATACCCAATCGTGCGAGCCCATGAAGATTTGCCCTTTTCCTTGATACAGGAGGAATAATCTAGCAGCAAGTGCCTTAACATAGTTGGCTGTGCTGCTGTAAGAATTTTCTGGCAAAAAGTGTCCAAGAATTGTTAGGTTGATCCCTCTGGCAAGGTGTATTTGAACATATGAACAAATTAGTTTTATTTAGAGTTGAGAATTTCATTGTTTAAATAAATACAGTGAGAAAAAGAACTGCTATAGCAGTTTCATCAGCTAGCCATCTTTTTCTTTTTTCTTTTTTTTTTTCTTTTAGAGTTAGAATTCCAGAAAACTTATGTAGAAAAAACACAGGGTAATAAATACAGTCAAAGCATAGTTTGTGAGGATACACACCATTCACATAGAGAACAACAGAACTTCTATTCCGTCCTGCAACAAAAGTATATTCTCCAGCATCAGAGTAAGTGGTTTCAAAGATGCTCATTCGATGAACTCTCCTTTCCACCACATAACTGTATCTTTCCTCATATTGGAAGTTGATCTCAATACCATCCTTGTACCACTGTGGTTCAATGTCATCTTCATTGACTTCGAATTCAATTTCAGCTCTTTGTCTCTGAATGACCTTTGAACAAGTAGAATAAATATTAGAAATAGCATTTGTTTTTACAGATGGTCCCACATTCCAGTTTCCTAGAAGATGGTCCTGATCTTGTGATTACAGATTTTTGTATTAAGACTCTTGCTGGTTAGATATTGTTGCTCTTCCTTTGCATTATTCTTTGAGTGACAAAGTTATGAAATATTTATTTTTCTGTATAGGCCATACCTGAATATCTTTACGGACGCTTCTGATACGAATGTCACGACCTTCCACTATCAAATTGGCACTGGATGTGTTTCCACCTGCTACTACAGTATACTGACCAGCATCAGACATTCTTGTGGAAGGAATGATGAGACGATGGACATATTTTTCTCTCTGAATTTTCATCCTAAGGACATCAGAAAAGGAGCAAGTTATTTCCTGAGAGAAAATAAATAACAAAAGTCAATATGGTGTAGAAACAATCATTTACCTGTCACCAATCTGGAGTTCTTGGCCATCCTTCATCCACTGGACCTGAATGTCAGGTTCTGAAATTTCACATTCAAAAATAGCCCTCTTCTTCTCCACAACCTTGATGTCTTTAATATGCTTCCTAAATTCAATGTGACGAGCTAGGGCAGAAATAAAGTAGAATGAGTACCATAATGCTGCTTAAGCCACCAGAAGTCATTAAATATAAAAATCAAGAAGGCAAATACCTTCCACATATAAAGTGGCTGATGAAGCTGCCTTTCCAGCAACAAAAGTATATTCTGCAGCATCACCAAAATGCACATTCCTTATGGAGAGGGAGTGTGTGAGCTTCTTTGTTCGTATCTGGCATTTGTCAGTTGATTTTATTTCTACTCCATTCTTCAGCCATTTATATGAGATACCTTCATAGTTAACAGTAACTTCAAATGTTATTGTATCTTTCTCTTCAGCATTGATGTCTTTTAGCATGGAGGTAATTAGGATGGCTAAAAGAAAACAAGTGGACATGGTTTGGGGGTTTCTGTTCAGTTTTGCTTTATTTTAAACACATATTAAATGGATCAGTGATGTTTAAAATTCTTTAAGACATATTCTGCTTTTTGGTAATATTAAAAGGAAGGTTCTGTATCCAGAATAAATATTACAATTAAACTTGCCAAAAGTTCTGAATGACCTAGGAATCCAGATTCTGTCTCCTATAGTGCCTTGGTGTTTAGGTATGCTGGCCTAAACAGAGGAAACCAGGATCTGGTTTTCAAGTTCATAGCTTCCAGATGTCTTTTAAAAATGTAAATGAAGCCATTCAGGGTTATTTGAAAATATCTCTACAACAGTGCAGGTTTTGTCTGAATTGCACCAAGTGCATGTATTAACACAAACTTTGTTACTGATAACTAAAATATTCTGGTAAATTTCATTTTTACGTACGTTTTACGGTCAGAGTTGCACTGACTCTGTCATTTCCACAAACAAATGTGTATTCTGCAGAATCTTCACTGCTTGTGTTCATGATATTGAGCTGATGGAGCTTCCCCTGGACCACTATTTTGAACTTTTCACTCATTTCAATCTCCACACCATTTTTCAACCAGACAGCAGGCACATTGAAATGAGAAACTTCACATTGAAAAGAAGCAGTTTTGGTCTCAGGGATCTCAATATTTTTCATGGTCTTTGTGATGTGTATGGCTAAGAGGGGAGGAAAAAAAAGACAAAAGAAAATCATAGAATCATCATAGACTCACAGAATGTTGTGAGTTGGAAGGGACCCACAAGGATCATCAAGTCCAACTCTTGCCCTAGCATAGGACAGTCGCAAGATTCAGGCTGATGTCTGATGTGTCTGATGGTGTTGTTCAAATACTTTTTGAATATTGTCAGGCTTGGTGCCATGACCACCTCCCATTCCAGTGCTCCACCACCCTCTGGGTGAAGAACCTTTACCTAATGTCTAACCTAAACTTGCTCTGGCACATCTTCCTGCCATTTCTCCTGGTCCTATCATTGGCCACCAGAGAGAAGAGATCAGGACTCACCCCTCCTCTTCCCCTTGTGAGGAAGCTACAGACTGCAATGAGATCTCGTCTCAGTTTCCTCTTCTCCAGCCTGAACAAACCAAGCTACTTCAGCCTCTCCTCATACGGCTTCCCCTCTAAGCCCTTCACCAATTTAGTTGCCCTCCTCTGGACACTCCCCAGTAGCTTTATATTGTTTTTACACTGTGGCACCCAAAACTGCCCCCAGTACTCAAGGTGAGGCTGCACCAGTGCAGAGCAGAGCAGGACGATCACCTCCCTCGACTGGCTCGCAATGCAGTGCTTGATGCATCCCAGGATACGGTTGGCCCTCCTGGCTGCCAGGACACACTGTTGGCTCATGTTCAACTTGCCATGGACCAGAACCCCCAGGTCCCTCTCTGCAGGGCTGCTCTCCAGTCTCTCATTCCCCAGTCTGTGTGTGTGTCCAGGGTTGCCACGTCCAAGGTACAAAATCCAGCATTAGCCTTGTTAAAATTCATACAGTTGGTGATTGCCCAGCTCTCTAATTTATCTGTATCTCTCTGCAGGACCTCTCTCTCCACAGGACCTCATAATTTGGTCTCATTGTCAAACTTAGCAGTCCTTCAAGTCCTATATCCAAGTCATTGATGGAGACATTAAAGAGCACCGCCCCCAGGATGGATCCCTGTAGGACTCCACTAGTGACCAGTTGCCAGCCCAATGTAACCCCATTGACTAGAACCATTTGAGCCTGACCCATCAGCCAATTGCTCACCCATAGCAGTATGGTTTTTTGGGGTTTTTTTTTAAAAAAAAGGATTTTTTTTAAAGTCAGTATGTGTGGAAGACTGCCAAAAACCAAGGGTAACAGGCTGTAAAGTGTCAGGTCAAGTTGTTCAATGAGTTGGTGTAGCGGTTAATGTAATTACTTTCTTACAAACTTATAATACTTACTTTCCACAAACAGTTTTGCTTTACACTCAATTTGCCCAACAAGAGCTGTGTATTCCCCAGCATCAGCAGGAGATATATTATGCAGCATAAGCTTGTGAACTTTCCTCTGAGAGATCAGCTTGTATTTATCACTTTGTTTAAGCTCGACATTTTTGTGGAACCATCGGACTGGTACAGTATCATGGGATACACTCAGTTCAAAGGACACAACAGCATTTTCCAAAGCAGTCACATCCTTTGGCTTTTTGATGATCTTGACAGCTTGAGGAAAAAAGTTAGAAAGATTCATCAGTGTGTTTGATTTGAATTTCAAAACACACATTAAAGCAAATATTCAAACCAGACTGACTTACTTTCCACATGAAGTCTGGCATTTGCTCCTATTTTTCCAAGCTTAAAACTATAAACAGATTCATCAGTGACAACACAGTGTTTGATTTTCAATGTGTGAACAGTTCCTTTCACTGAAATTTCATATTTGTCATTTGATTCAAGTTCAACACCATTTTTAATCCACAGAGCTCCTTTCACATCAGGGTGGGTCAGTTCTACACTGAAAACTGCCTCCTGTGTTTCTGTCACAGTCAAGTTCTTTAGTGTCTTCTTTATCTTAACAGCTAGGAAAAAAAAAAAGGAAAAAGAAAACCAAACTTGACAAAACAGACCAAAATTAAAAATGATAGTAAATATAATAATCTTAATAAAACTGAATCATGGTGTTTCATTTTAAAGTCTAGTATGTATATATTGATTTATACAATTTCCACTGAAGTAGTGTGCTTGGAACACAAAAAGGAGCATTTATAGGTAGAACCCATGAGAAACAAGGGTTTTTTTAATTTTATGTGTTTATTATGCAACTAACAAAGAGTGAATTTCTACCTGCTAGCCCTTGAATTATGCCTTTAATAAAATGTATTTTAATTAAAATACCAAGCTAAATTCCAAATATGGAGAGTCCAAAATAGTTTGCTACCTCAGAAAGTGCATCATACTATAATAATATTTTCAAAAAATGAAACAAATTATGCTCATATCTTAGGGCCTGATCCAAGACACAGTGAGTGATGCTGGACTGAGTCTTAAAGATATCAGTTAGTTAGAAGAAATACTGACCTTCGACCTTTAGTTTGGCAGATGTCTTTGAGCTTGCTATTTCATAGCTATATTCACCCATATCATCCAGTTTTGTGACAGGGATATTAAGCCTTCTCTTTACACCATCGGACTCAGCACGGTACTGATCTGTCATAGGTAATGGTCTACCATTTTTTAGCCACTGGCCATCTGATTCAGGATTTGCAACCTCACATTCAAAAACAGCTGTTTGGGACTCAGCCACAGTCAGGTCAGTGAGAGGCTTTGAAATGGCACCACCTGTTGGGAAGCAAAAGAACATGTTTTTGTTATATTGCTGTTCGACTTTCCCTCATACAGAAATGCAACCACATGAGAAGTTGATGCTAGAATTCTTTGCCCTAATTTGCAGCATGCCAATAGACATTCCAAGTTCTGTGAAAAATCAAGAATAGAATGTGACCTGAACATCACAAAAATATGTTTCTTACTTCTATCCTAGTTATTCTAATTTATTATTTTTATTATCAGCACAGATGTACTGAAAATTCAGGACAAAATAACTTATTTTTTATAGTAATTACATCAAAAGTATACTACAGCATTCCATACTATAGCTCTGATTTAGAAAAACATATAAGCACTTACTTAAAATATTTGTTGAATTAAAACTATACCAATCACAAAATATAAGGGGACGAGGAAGGAGAACATAGAAAAAAAGATAAATTAAAGCCCAAAACCAGAAACAGCACAATTGCTACAATTACAAAATACAGTACATTGAGCATTGTTTTTAAATCACAGTGAAATAGAAATGTTGGACTTTAACCCTACTAACCTGCTACTATAAGCTTTCCAGATGTTTTCTTCTCTCCAGCATAAAATACATATTCCCCTTCATCATCTTTCATCATCTTTACCACTGTCAATTTATATATTTTGCCATGTGCTTCAATTTTATATTTAGGACTAGCCTTGATTTCTTGGCCTTTGAAATGCCAAATTACATCAATCCCTGAATGGGAGAGCTCGACCTCAAAAGATACATTCTGTGTTTCAGTGCAGGTGATGTCATGGAGACCTCTAATAATTTTAATTTCTATAAAAAGAATACATTACATATATATTAGTTGCTTCCACGGTTTTGTATTTAAAGAAATAACTTCACAAAGAACTGTGCATCTTAAAGAAAACCTACTTTCAACTGTGACATTGCAAGTTGTTTCAACTTTGCCAACCATCAGCTTATAACATCCTTCATCTGATGCATGGGTTCTGGTAAGCACTAGCCTCTGTTTAGTGCCTTTACATACAGCTTGTACACGTTCATCTGGCTTTATCTGATGATCATTCAGGTACCATTTGGAAGAAGATACATCAGGTGCTGAAACTTTGCACTCGAGGATAGCTTTTGTTCCTTCAACTACGTGAACATCTTTTAGAGGCACCACTATTTCCACACCTGTCAAGTTACAAAAATATTCATCATGAAAAAATATGCCTTTAAGAAGTAATCCTAGCAGATCCAAAAATCAAACACACCTTCAAAATCATGATAATGACTTACTGTATACTGTGATCCGTCCAGTGGTTGACAGTTCAAGACCGGGAACATTAAAAGAGTAAGTTCCACTATCTTCCTTCGTTGCATCTTCTATCAGCAACATGTGTGACTGTTTATCCAACACAATGTGAATACGATCACTTGATTGAATTTCAGTACCATCTTTCATCCAGACACCTTCCACATTTTCTAGGGAGACTTTAACTTCAAGTTGTACAATATCTCCCTCACAGACTTTTTGATCAGTAAGTCCTTGAAGAATAACCATGGGACGAGCTGTGGAATTAAATGAAGTTAATTAATCCTCATAACAGATAAGAAGTATATTGAATATTAAGGTAGTATGTGATATAGTGATATAGCTGTAATACATGAAATCTATAATATATAGACAATATATGTATTAGAAGTATATATAAGTATTAGAAATGCTTACGCTTCATCTTCAGTTTACAGTGAGTCCTTTTTCCATCAACAACAAAGCTATACTCTCCTTGATCATCTTTATTAACATCTTTAATAGTGAGGATCTGGCGACCACGGCGGGATGCAATCACGTATTTGTGATTAGAAGTGAGTTCAACATCGCCATGATACCATTTCCCCTCCACGTCTTCTGGGGAAACCTCACATTCAAGTTCAGCTGAGAAGGACTCTGGTACTTCAACATCCTCAAGTTCTTTAATAAATTCAACCACAGCACCTACAGGCAAAAATAATCACATTCATGAATAAGCTTGATTAGAAAACCCTGATGAAAACATTTCTTATTAAATGAGCCTAAGGAAATTAATATATATATATGGTGTAAAAATTTTACATAAATATATCTCTAAACTTTCATACTGGATTCCAAGAATGTGAAAGCAGCTTGAACATTTCTTAGTGCATTAGACATAAGTTTAAATGGTTTTATTTCTTCCTGAAGCTGATTCCACTTTAACAGTACTTCATGGTACTGAGCCATGTGCTTCTCACCTTCAACAGTAAGCTTTGCAGTAGTTTTGATGGATTCGTCTTCTACCAGCGCACAGCTGTAGTCATCAGCATCAGACATTTCAATTGCTAGTACAGAAAGAAAATGAGCCTTTCTGTCTGAGTGCATCCTGTATTTGTCTCCAGAATGAATCTCAATTCCATCCTTAAACCATTTCACTTTGACAAAAGGTTCTGATGTCTCACATTCAAATGTTGCCATGGAGTCTTTCTCTTTAGCAACAATGTCTTGTAACTTCTGTGTGAAGCTGATTAACTGTTTGGCTGCAAAACAATATGCAATGGATCAACAGGGCCATATAGACTTAACACACTATGATAAGCAGTAGGATAAAAGTAAGAGAATTTTAATTACCTTGTACTAACAGGAAAGCATGGCTAGAAGTTTCGCCAGCTATATTGACTGCTTTCACCATGATGCTGGCAGAATCATCAGAAGTCACATCTCTGATGACTAATTCACAAACATTATCTTCAGGCCAGTACCAGTACACACGATCAGTCCTTTCAATCTGCACACCATTTTTGAACCATAGGCACTCAGGGTCTGGTTTTCCCACCACTCTCACACGGAAGTGTGCATCTGTTCCTTGGGGTACAGTCTGGCTTTGAATTCGTTCAAATATCTTGGGAGCCTCCATGCTTGGACTAAGCTCAACCTTCTCTGGTTTGAATGTTGGAATGGTGATTTTGCCTTCAGGAGGAAGGGCTTTCTTCTCTTCCTCTGGGATCTCTTTGGTCCAGTGCAGAAGTTCTTCTTTTGTCTTTTTTAACATTTCTTCATATGATTCATCTTTTTTGCGAGACTTAAGTTCCACAGCAGTGATGGCTTCATAATAGCCCTCTTCCGTCCTACGCTTGAATTTACTACGCAGCTCTTCAGATTCCTCTGAAAGTTTCTCATGAGTGATTCTTTCAGCTCTTTTCAGTTTCACCACTTCTTTAGTTGTTACCTCTGCAGGTTTGTCCACCTTCTGTACCTCAAAGAGAAGTTTTCCAGGCTCTGTCACTACAGGCTCATGTTTGGGTTCAGGAGCACGACGAAGAACAGATCTGAAGTCTTCCCTCTGCTGGATCTCAAGTCTCACCTTATGTTCAATAAAGCCTTCTGGATTCTCTGCAGTGACTTTCACCTCTCCTGTGTCATACGATTTGCAGTCCACAATATCCAGGTAGTAGATTCCATCATAACGGAGCCTAAACCTTTTGCTCTTACGGATGAGCTGTCCATTGAGGTACCAGTTGACCTTGGGCAAAGGATAGCCAGTCACACGGCAGCGGAATCGTGCCGTTTCACCTTCCAGGACTCTTGCAGGTTCAGGAACCAAAACAATTTCTGGTTTTTGCTTTTCCTTTTGGTCCATGGCAACTGCAGGAAGAGCACCCTCATGGGCCATTCTTTCTAACTCTTCAATTCGCTGCAGTCCCCTTCTGCCTTCTGGCAATTGGGATTCTTCCACAAGGCTTTTCTCATCCTTCACGATCAGAGTAGCAGATGTATGGTCTGTACCATATTTGTTAGTTGCCCTGCAAGTGATCACTCCGCTATCTCTGGAATAGGCTACTCCATAGTCCAGGCTACAGTACCCAAACTCATTGATCATGCGTAGTCTGTTAGCTGCTTCCAAAGGTTTGCCATCATGCAACCACTCCACCACCATGGTTGGGTCACCAATTGGTGTAAGCCTGCACTCAAAGTGTGCCGGTCCAAATTGCTTGAGTCTTAAAGATGTGAGCTTCTTCTTAAAAAATGGTTTCTGTTGCTTTTCTTTGTCATAGAGATCTCCTTCCTCCCATTGCTCTTGACCATAACGCAAATGTAGAGGCTCTAGCTCTGGTGCTGCAATCTCCTTGGCTTTGTAAGTTCCTTTTGGAATGATTAATCTTCTTTCTGGTTCAGGTTCTGCATGTTCAACTTCGATATTTACTTTGCACCGTGTAGTATCCCGTCCAGCTTTATTGATAGCAGTAGCAGTATACCATGCAGCATCTTGCCTGGCAGTAGATTCAATTTTAAGGGCAGCTGCCCCTTTGGTTCCCTCAATTCTGAAATATTAAAACAAATATTTTTTTTTACCTTTTTGCACTTTTCTGTTACTAATTTTTGCCCTTCTCCAAAATTAGATCAAAGCTTTCAAAGGCAAATCTCTGGAGGAATTAGACATGTTGTTTATGTTTATTCATGTTTCTGAGTACAGTGCCTAAGAATCAAAGAAGTAAAGATAACAAAAACCAGTCTTGAATTCAATGGCAGTTTTGCCTGCAGTGGACTTCAAAATCAGAGACAACAGTTCCCTAAATCTCTGTTGTAAAAGCATTGGCTTTGTAGAATACAAAATACACAAGTTGGAAAAAATTGAGTCCTACAAGGTATTTTATAACTCTTAGCATTGCTGCAATGCAAAAACTGTTAATAGCACCTCAGTAGCCATTGGACTAAATCCTTTGTGAATCCCTCCTGTGGAAGTGAGGGTATTAGGCACACTGAAGGAGGCACTTTGCAGGATCACACTGCAGGAGGCACTTTACAGGATAGTGATGATTAACTTCCTTACTATTTAAGCAAAATAAAAATGCTTACTTTATTTTGGGGTATTTATGAGGTACAATAATGTCACTGTTCTTCAGCCACACAATGTCAGGATTAGGGTTACCAGTAGCTTTCACTGCCATCTCCAGTCTAGAGCCCTCCTTTACACTAACATTCTTCAGCCTTTCCACAAAGTGTGGTCTGACTAGGTCTTCCTTAGCTGAAAGAGCAAGGGTAAGTTATAACAAGAATAAATGACATAACCATGGTTTTTAATAAGAAACACTCCTCAGCCTCCTAAAAATGTCATGCACAGTAGATACCTTCCACAGCCAGTGTCATTGAGACTGAAGCTTTGCCTGCCCTATTCTGAGCAATTACTGCCCATTCTCCAGAGTCATCAGGCATAGCAGGAACAATGATCAACGACTGGGTGCCATCTTCTTTAATCACTATTTTATGGGTATAATCATTAACCACTTGTTGACCTGCAGATATAATGAAGAAAAAAAAAAAGTTGCATCCAAAACAGTGTTTCAACAAGACATTAAATGTAGATAAGATTGGTTTTTAAGATTATTTGTTGATGAAATTCAGGCTGATGTACCGTTATGGAACCAGTACGTCTCTGGCATAGGTCTGCCAACAACTTTTAAGTCAAATCTTGCCGTCTGCCCCTGTGAACATTTAAATGACGTTGGTTTCAGCACAAAAACTGGTTTGTATAGTCTCTCTAGTTGTCCTTCATCAGTTTCATCTAATCTGCGGGCAGGAGAACGAGAAGGAGAACTGCGGGCAGGAGACCGGCTTGGAGAACGTGGAGAAATAGACCTGGAAGGAAAAGACAAGACAGATGTGCATGACGTTATATAGCAGTGGGCTGACATGATAAAGAGAGTTCAATTTTTGCCTTCAGCATAATCTTTTTAAAAGATATTAACCAGTTTATCTATGTGAGAAATTGTGACAAAATTCATTTTTATTTGTAGTCAATTTTCTTTAGGTTTTTCATAGCAATTTGTATAGCTAAATAGTATTAGGATACACCACAGCCAGGGAAATTTTTGCGTTTTGGATACTGCACAGATATGGATGTAATCCTGTGTACATTTGTGCGTGTGTGTGTATGTATATGGAGACAGAACACAGTACATGGCAACACTGGATTTTTTCTGACATAGAAATACAACTATTTTTAAGGGCGAGAAGTAAGAGTTGCACACAGTACTAAAACTCCAAGCAGAGAAGAACATTTTTTCCAAAAACATGAGTAGTTTAAAAAATAAATATGGTTGCTGAGGTTGTAAATCTGATACTGCGGCTGCATATGCATGTGAATGATGGAACTCTGGGAACTGCATTGCTCATTAAGAAGGCAAATCAGATAAAGAGTTGGCACATAAATCAATATAAGCCATGAAAACAGGATTTAGAACTTCTCCAGAGGTGTGCAAACTCCAATAACTTAAACTGTTTAGCTCCTGTGTAATGCGTTTTTGGACTGTCTATCACAGCAGACTGAAGTCTCATGAGATTTATATATTACGGTGTACCTACCTATATCTTCTCATAACTTCTGGCCCTGGCATATAACCTGGAGTTGCTGTGGGTGCCACTGGCTCAACGTAGAGTTTTGCTGAGCAAATGGCATTTCCTTTTATATTACTCGCAAAGACAGTATAAATTCCTTCATCTTCAGGTAAAACGACAGGCAAACGCAGACTGGCACTGCCGTCTTGCAGAATTTCCATCTGGTAGCGCTCTCCATGCCTTATACGCTTACCGTCTTTGTACCATGCAATCTGCATGGAAAGAAACAGTGCAATGTTATGTGAGGTCTCCTAAAGACAAAGACCAAGTAATGACCCATGCATGCAACATATTACATCTTCCTATTTTTCAGCTGATGCATTGTCACAGCCATTAACATTTTTACTTGCAATAAGCAATACTAAAGTAACATGCTTTCACAGTAGCCTGAAACACGGGTTTTGGAGCTAGAAACGGATATATGGTCTATTTTGATGAAGACCAAAGTGACCTAGACAGGACTTGCTACTGTGTTACTCACTTGTGTGGGCTAACTCAGAGATACTCAGAATCAAGACCAAGTTACTGGTATATCTAACCTACCTTTGAACTGGCTAACCAACCTAACACTATTCTATTAAGGGACAAAAGGAAAATTCAGCTTGTTATCAAAACAAAAGACTGGGTTTCCTTTGTGTTTTTCTGTTTTCCATGCAGAATGTAAAATGCCTGACAATGAGATGATAAGGGATTTTTCAAGTAGAGCACCAGATGATTTTTTTAAATACATTCATGTCATACAGGTTTGGCGTACCTTTGGCAATGGATATCCAGTCGTCTTGCAATGGAAAGTAACTCCTGTCCCTTCAAAGGCTCTGTAATTCTTTAATCTTAAATCAAATCCTGCTTCTATAGCTTCAGATTCAGAAATATCAACCATCATCTCTTCTCCATCTTCTTCGAGAAGTTCATCTAAAGTGGTCTTAATAATTCGAAGTTCAATTTCCTTGATAAGTCTTTCTTCAAAAGAAGAAATATGGAATTCCTGTACAGAAAAGCAAGACCATTAGTTCTGTGTGTCAGATAATGACCTTGTAAAGAAGTGATTTATACTGGTAAAAAGTTAGTATACAAAATGAGTATGGAGTAATGAGTAGTGGTAGACATACCTCATCTTCTACAAAAGTTCTGACCATCACAGTATCTTTTGCCATTTTCTTTCTAATTAGGGCTTGTTCTTTTTCATATTCCTTTTCAAAGTCACCATATGAAACAGCTGGGGCTACCTCAGCCACTTTAGGTTCCTGTACATATGCAGTCACCTGAGTTTGGTACATCATTTCTTGTTGTGATTTTATGTAGGCTTCGTAATCAGCTAAGAGTTAAGAACATATTAATTTTGATAAGTTTTTGTGGTTTTCACTGGATTGAATAGAGAAAAAAAGTACAAATTATTATACTGGTTTTGGTGATTCAAGCAGAGTTTCTGTCTGTTGAACCAATAAAATACAAACAGCTATAAAATGCAGACTGATGCCCTCAGATGAGCTTTATAAACAGGTAAGTTTTACTGTGCTATTTAGGTGTTCTAGTTTTCAAAGTGGAAGCACCTGTAGAAACTATTTTACAATTTATTCCACCGTGGCTCTGTCTCCTGCAAACTTTCATGCATTTTTAGGTTGTGGAGTCTCCTCTGGAGACATTCAAGACCTGCCTGGACGCCTTCCTGTGTAATTTCATTTAGGTGTTCCTGCTCCGGCAGGGGGATTGGACTAGATGGTCTTTTGAGGTCCCTTCCAATCCCTGACATTCTGTGATTCTGTGATTTTTACAAGGACAATTGAAAAAAAAAAAAAATCAAGTTAGCTTCTTTCCCTGTAATAGAACAATCTGTTACTTGATTAACCTCCTTTCCCCACATCACTGTCTGAATGTCTTATGTAATGTACACTGTTATGGACATCAAAAAAAAGGTTCTTATAGCAAGAAATTCTAAGCAAAGGATACAAGTCCTTCAAGAACCTGGTGTCAACAAAGCCACCCTTTATGTTCCTTGCATTGACCAAACTAAGTTGCAAAGAATTTGCAGCATGATTTATTTTTTTTCCCCATTTAAAAGTTAGTTTTAAGAAATATTTTTCCCATTTATCTAAAATGTACCTTCTTCTAATAAGGAGACCGTTGCAGAAGCTTCTCCATATTTATTACGAACAATAATAGTGTATTCTCCGGCATCATCGGCAAAAGTCATGGAAATTTCAAGTTTGCATTCCCCGGTTTCTCTTTTGTAACTCACTTTGTATCTATAGAAAACATAAAAGTACAAGCTCTCGATGATTCTGTTTAACAGACCTTTTATTGAATTTGCTTTTAGTTACACAATCAGAATCACTCCCAACTTGTACAAGAGAAAAAAAAGAGAAAATTTGCAGGCAATTCTTGCTCAATGAATCTGCAGGACAGTACAGGAAAAACAACCATGCTGAAACTAGATTATAGGTCTACTTTTTTTCTGTTGTCACTAAAATAAATGGGATGCAAACAGCAGTACTGAAATATCAGATATCTAGTTATCAGACACAGTAAAATGGTATATGCTGTGTGAACATAGCTTGTCTTAATATGGGTCATTATAACATGATATATTTAAAGAATGCTACAAATATATTTTTTCCTCTGGTTGCTTTCTATAGACAACATTTGCATAAGCAGAATCAAGCATTACATAGACAGAATAAAATAAATGCAAAGCTTGTTCCTGATTTGTTTTTAAGGATATGTAGCATTTCTCATTTTATATGGTCTTTTGAATATTTGTATTTCAAAACTTAGCAGCCTTCTAAAGTCTCACATTAAGACATGATCCTATGACTTTTTCCTTTTCAAAAACAAAATTTCACAGAAATCAGTGATGTTATTTGGCTCAGCATCAGGAAGGGAATCAAAATTATGGTACTGTCAATTAATATTCTTTAAAATTATGTTTAAATATTTTTTGTGCACTGTATTCAAAGTACCTGTAGCCAGTCGTTAGAGGAACTCCACCTTTTTTCCAGTAGACATGTGGCTTTGGGTTGCCCCCTACTTGGCATTCAAAAATAATGCTCCCACCTTCAATTAATTTATGTACTATGGGTTTTCTTATGAAGAAAGGAGGTATTGGTTCTCCCGATACTTCCTCTGCTGCAGCAGAGACATCTTCCATTACAATATCCTTTGTCTCCACATAGCTGAAATAAGATTCCAGTGCAGACAAGTGAGCCAATATCTGAAGCTTTCATAAACAGAGTGCAATAAACTAATGACCACAGTAGGATTGGTCAGTAGGAATGTAACTTTACCGTTTCTCTTCTGCAAAAGCCTTCTCTGAAATGGTTTCTCGAGTCTCAATTTCTTCTGAAACTGCAAGACAAATATTTGACAGAGAGAGAAGGTTAAGAAGTTAGTTGGCTCAGAGGGCCAGTTACTTCCACTGAGGAAGCAGGTAAGAGTCTCCATTGGCCCATAATTGGTCTTTTCCTCATATTCTTACAGCCTTGTTACCTAATAGCCCTGGAATACAATTCAAGGCATATGTTGTAATTGGGAGGTGATAAAATGTCTAAGTTACATTACAAGTAACTTAGTTAACATGCAGTTAACAAAATTCTAATTTTCCCACAGTCATAAGTACACTTACCCTTCACATGTAAGTGGCAAGATGTGCTGACACTTCCAGCTTTATTGGTAGCAGTACAGGTAAATCTTCCACTGTCTTCTGCAAAGGCTTCACGAATCACAAGACGAGCAAGCCCTGCTTTAAAAGTGATCTGGAAGTCCATTGAGCTCTCAATCTTGTAGTCTTCCCTGTACCATGTCACAGTAGGTTGAGGATGACCAGAGATATGGCACTCCAGAGTGACAGACTCCCCTTCAGTCACAGTCTTATTTTTGAGGCCCTTTATGACAAAAAATAAGTATCACAGTCAGTATATATTTTCATTATTAAACAGGCACTTAAATAACTAAAATCTATTTGAATGGAAAATTTAATGTCTACTTCAAAACAATGTTCCGTTCAGCATTGTATCCAGGAAAAAAAGAGGCATTTTTCACAGGGAAGTATTTGAAACTGGACTGGGCATCTCTGAACATTACTGTTTTAACAAGGAAATGAAAAGGTAGGTTGATGTTTATGCAGTTCGCGGTGAGAAACCATTTCACTGCAGCAAACGTGAACTATAATTGTGAAGAATCACCCCCATAACAGACAATCTGAATAGTTTGTATCAGAGAGAAATTGTATGGCTGAGTAAGTCTAATATAGGGTTAAAAATACTAAGTAAAAAAAAAATAATTATCTGGTTTTCAAAGATCAAAGTTAGAACACAAAATGGGTGAAAACATAGTGTAAATCCCCTGGCCTACATGTGAATTACTTACTGAGACTAAGGTAGGTGGAGTAGCAGGGATTTCCATGGGTGTAGGAACTCTGGCAGTTTCTGTCACCTAGGTTGTTTAAAGCACAGTTAATAAACACCTAACAAAGCCAAAGACAAACAGCAGAATTTAGGTAAGAAAATAAATTAGGAGAAGGGAACTCATTGTTTGTCATAGGTAAATATTAAGTCTTTAAAAGGATTTGTGTAATACAACAAAGATAAAAGTCAGCAGAGTGCTGTAAAAGTGGAAAACTGCAATGAGGAAACAGCAAATAAATGAGGCTATGCTACGTTTTTAAGACGTAAGTCAAAGTGTCGGAAATTTGCTTAATAACATACCTTGGCTTCACCTTCTTTCCGCAACACTAAGTGTTCTTCCTGCACTGCTTCACCTTTAATGCTTACACCTGCCTCCTTTTTAGTCTCAATGTCATAGTGACTTTTGTAGGTCTCAGCAGCCTCTCCAAAGGGAAACTGTGGAGGGGCAACTGGCTCTGCTTTTATCCTGACTTCATGTGGCTTTAGCTGAGGTGGTTTCACAGGCTTAGTGATCTTTTGCACAGCAGAAGTAGCTGATAACTCTTTTTCCAGAGTGGCCATGGCAGATCCAGCTATTGAAACCTAGGGAACAGAAGAGAAAGAGTTACAGCTTTGTTGTTCTCTTGTTTTTAAAGGAGTCAGTATATTTCTTGAGCAGATTGCATATGCACCAGTTGTTTCCTTAGTTACTTATTTGTTGACAGTGCAAAAGCTATATATATAAAAACTACTTCAGTTTTAGATTAGTAGTAAAATACCAGAGATATAATATCCTTGTATTATTTTTGATGTGTCTACCATTCAAATATTTTCTGTTTTTTCACTGTAGAATTTGATCTTTAAATGGTCAAGAAGCTCTTAAGTGCCACATGAGAAATGTCCTTTAAATTTATTCACTTGAGGTCTCAGCTTTCCATTTCAGCAGGCTAATACTGCAATAAACAATACTACTAATTACATAACTGTCAGTGATTAAAATGACTGAAGATATTTCAAAATGTTATTGTAGGCATAATAACTTTGGAAAACATACATAAATCTTTAAAGAGAAAAATATTTTAGGGAATTCTTATAGTGTTTACTTATGTTTGAAGAAAAAAAACCAGTTCATTTTCTAAGTGAAAGGAGAAAGTATGCTTGAATGAGAATTAATCAAATGGAAACTTTTAATATTATGTGAAGGACTTGAACAGAAGAATGGAAAAAGTAACACTAAAATTGAATGGTGAAATATTATGCAGTCTGGATTTTTTCTGTTTCAAAAATTAGCTTATTATGTAGTAATCTGCAAGGAAGAAAGAGGCGTTGTTTCCAATGTGCTAGTGAACTGATGAAAATAATAAGATTGAAGAGGGATATCTTTGCTCTTTTAAAAAGCATAAGTTGTATGACAAATGTTCATGATTTTGCTGCATGACATTAAGTATTGAAGCTGCATCCTTAAACAGATTAAAAGCTTGTTTAAATAACTAATAACTACAAACCATATTTTAGCAGTTCATGTGTATGTTTACATCACTGCTCTTTATTAGTCAAACAAGCCAACAAAAACAACTGCAGAGAGCATAGAATTTTTCTTCTTGGGAAAGCACCATACTGGAGTGGGAGGAAAAGCCCAATGGAATGAGTGACCCACTGATTATTAGAAACGAGCATATTGCTCTTCTTGGATACAGTTTTCACTTCTTACCTCATATGTATGATCTGGTTTAGGAACAGCAATTTTGGAGACTGAGAAGTGAGGACTTGCTGTGCGAGGTCGTGGGTGTTCAACATGAATTGTTTTCTCAGTTTCTGTTGTTCTTTTTATCTACACAAAGCAATGAAAAAAGTTGTTGAGAATGGGATGCTGTTCTCCAAACTGAGATAGATAAAAGAATGCAATGTAAACTGACTCTAACCTCTGCTGATATATGAACTTCCTTCTTTTCAGCAGCTGAAATATGTTTCTCAGGAGGAATATAGACAGTTTTAACTTCTTTACTGACAACATGACGTTCTGCTGGGGCCTCAGCAACATGTTCTGTTACAGCACGCTCTTTATAGCCATATTCCAAAGTTTTCTGCTTTGCATAAGCTTCATCTGCTTGTTCTGGTTCCCAGGGTGATCGAACACGTGCCTGATCAACTGCTGCAACAACTGTAGCTACAGCTTCAGCCTTTTTTCCAGCTTCAGTCTACAGATAACATTGGCAGAATTTATACAAATATTCATAATTATGTTAAAGGCTTGCATATCTGGCAAATACTTATAATGGTCAGTAAAGTATATTCCAGACAAAGAGAGAGTGTATATATATGCAAAAGTAATAATGTAAACATCAAATGTGTTCACCCATAAATATACTTCAGAGTCAGTAGATTCAAATATAGAGAACATATCTATGCTTGTGTGCTTTACACATATCAATATTTGTATACAAGCCCATTTTTAATACTTTATAGTCACGTTTATGGATATATTTAAGAGTATGGCAGGTATGTAAACGTGCAAATAATTTTAAAGTCAGTGTGCTCATCAGCTCCATATAGCTATTAGATGCTACTAAAAATGTGGAGAATGTGTCTAGAAATTGATGTGAATGTATTAACTAAGCCATATACCCATAATATTTTTGCCACGGGCAAATATGTTAATTCAGTGCTAATCTATTTTAAATTATTTTACAAAAGAAGGAAAAATGGGCTTTCTGAGAAATCAGAAGTGAATGCATTTGTATCAGGACTTTTATGTGTTTCTAATAACTGATAAATACTGGCAACTTCTGTGTTATCAGGTCCAAATTTCTGCCCAGTCAGCCAACAGTAGGTGATAGGAGGATTATGACTAGCGTTTATTATTACTGTCATAACTGATCGGAATGTAGCAACAGAGTATATTGAACATATGTCTTGTAGATGGGAAAAAAACCTAATAGATAATTTCATGCTGATTTTAAAATCATTATCAGCTTAAAATAAAGTAACTTAAGCAAAGCCAAAATGTGATTGTTTACAGAGGGGTTTTTTTATTATTAAAGTACTGTTTACGTAACAGGGACCTCTTATTCAGTATCATTGCCAATTTCAAAATAATTGCTTATACAGACTTGAATTGTATCCTAAATTTACATCATCTAACAAATAACACTAATATCTTAGCAGTCTGACTCCTCTGAGTGAGTTTTATATGCTATGCTACATTAATTATATCTTATAAAAGTATTTTATGAATGTATCATACTGTTTCTAGCAAAGTAGATAAATAGAGTTTAAACAAAAGCTGTTGGCAACTATGTTATTCTTTCACATATGGGAGTTCCTGGCTAAATTATAATGGAAAAACTTTTCTACTGTGGAAGTCCTACTGGAACAAAGCAGTGTCAACAAGTGTCTTGTTATCAGAAGTAATAAACTGAACAGGCTTGAATGGATGTTAAAATTTGTACTGTACAAAGAACAATACAATTGAAACCTTAATAAGGAGAGGTTGCTTCATTTGACAACCATAAAATTGTAAGGAATTACCTTGTAGAAAAAAAAGATTGCAGAGTCAGAAATTTGAACAAGTAAACATTACTTGAAAGTCATTGGTAGGGAGTAGGCTTTCACAGAGAAATCAAACTGTAATCTTAAAAGCGTAATTTCCAAATGAGAGGAGTCACAAGCCTCAGAAAGGTACTTTAACAATGGGAAAACATTTTGGAATGGGTACAGGGAAGGAAAATTAAGGGGTTAGATCCTTGTACACTGCACACAGCTCTGTATTATATGTATACCAGTAAGTATTGTTAAACCCTGACACCTACTTAAATAAAAGTAATTTTTTAAAAAAGTTAAAATGCATTTCAGGAGGGAATCAGTCCATTCCAAAGGTCAGTCAGAAAAGAATTATGGGCATCTTATTAATAAAAATATTTAGGACAGAAAGATAGAGGTAGAATAATACAGTGAAATTAACTGTAGTTCTAAAAGTTTGCAAGTGTAATAAATCTTACAAAAAATGAGCTGGAAATGTGTAGTTAGTATTTTTGAGGGACACATAAGGTTTGAGAGGAAGAAGAGAGGATAAAGTAAATAAGAAGAGAGGATAAAAAAATAAATATGGTTGTAATAGTGCTATTCACCTTTTCATGGGTTATGCTCACTTGTTCTTGTTTGGTAGCAATTCCTTCTTTACTTTTCGATATTATGACTCGTGGTTTAGGTTTATCAGTTGTAATTACTACCTTAGGTACAGAAGGTTTCATATCTTCCTTTCTTATCTAGTTTTTATGGTAAAGAAAAACAATCATAATCAATTATGCCTGTTGTCAAAATTACACAGCTTTTTGGGAAGTGGGATAAAGTTTCAGAATGTTTATCAGTAAGAGAAAAATATCACCTGAGGAATGAAATAATTCCTTTGTACATACCAAGTTATAGCCTATTTTATATGCTAGCTGAATGGAGTGCATTCAGTCATTACACAATGCGTTAATCTGTGTGTGAATTAGAGAAGAATCCTCCCACTTCCTAATTAATTGTGATAGATCATTGTTATGTTTTGTAGGAAAAATAAGTATTAAAATAAAAATAAAAATAAGTATTACTGACTTAATATTTATCAGTAGATGGAAATATTCCATCAGTTACTCCAATAAATAATTGTTCCAAATATGTTACAGCAGATGCATTCAGTTCTCACACAAATATGAACTTAATTAAATCAAACTCCACACATCAATATCATATCATGAGGGAAAAACTTTACAATTTATCTTCAGAAATCTACCTTCAGACAAAAAAAAACAAAGATCATTAAACATTAGGTACCCTGGCAATAAAAGGATCTGTAGGAAGGGCAGCTGTGCTCTTCCTCTCTACACAGAACTGCAATGAAGTCAGCAGAACTGGACCTGCAATGCTGGGTCTCTAACTGGAATACTTTGCTTTATAAAGTTTTCATTTTGTAATATTCTCTTCATAGAGAAGCAGAGCAAAGACATGTAGCACATTTGATGAAGAATGAGGTTTTATAAACTTAGAGTATAACAATGAGCTAAACATCTGTAACGTTTATTTACCTTTTCATGAGCACTGTGCACTTGCTCATGTCTGATAGATATTTCTTCTCTAGCTCTTGATATTCTTTCTTGCTCTTTGGCTTTGTCTGTGGCAATTATTACTGCGGGTACTGGAGCTTTCTCTGGTTCTTTTCTTACCTGGAAGTTTACAAATAAAGAAGTTTATATATGGTTTAAAAATATAAAGTATGTGATTTTTCATACATTTGGAAAAGAGGAGACAAATGAGAGGGGTACAAATGTCAAACTCTGGATTGCAAAATCCTCTAGTCTGGAAACAACAATAACATAAACAGACTTTTATAAAACGTATACACATTCAGCATAAATATAATAAAACATTCCACAAATGCTTACTTTGCTACTGAAAGCTGTAATAAATTGGATCAGAGAAAAACTGTCCTGCATCATGATCGGATTGAGAAAGTGCAGGATATTTAGAAAAGTTTCAGGTACCTTGCACTTTGCCAGGAAGTTCAATTGTAATCTGCACATAAACACGTAATTTTTTGCCCAGGTGGATTTCTGTTTCTCAATACTTTAAAGATAGGTTACACTTTCTTACTCACACATTTCAGCTAAAATGCAAATGTAACATTTCTCTATAAAAGCTGGTCTTCCATTAAATCTCATTTATCTGATAAAACACATGCTGAAATAATCTGAATTCAAATCACTCATCAGCATTCTCAAAATTTATTTCAATGTAGAATGAATTTTTCCTCCTTTTTCTCGCCCACTGTGCTGCCAACAAACAAAGCAGGCTACAAATGGCAAGCTTAGAAACAAAACCAGAAAAAAAAAGGAAGATTTAAGAGGTATTTCCTACATGTCAGTTATTTAAATGATTAAGAATCCTATCTAGTAAATCACCATACAATATAGAAAAAATAGGGTTTTTTCTAAGATAATATTTTGCAAGTTTATCTATCACATTCTTAGGTACTAATAATGGAAATGAAATGAAAAAGGAAATACAGACATCATCAAGGAGAGATGGGAGAAAGATAGCAATGGACTAGAAGAATGAACATATATAAAAGGGAAAAAAAATATTATGGTATGTCATTTGTCTTGTTCATAGGCCTGTGTTTTTGATGAGATATTAAATTGTTGAACAGGGTTGGTATGATAATCATAGGTAACATCTGTATTCACCTTTTCATGAGAGATGTGCCTTTGTTCTTGAGAAGTAACAATTCCTTCTCTAGTTCTCGATATTACTGTATGTTTTGTGGCTTTGTCACTGGTAACTACTACCGTTGCCTCCTTTCTCATCTGAATTTTATAGCAACAAAAAAAAAAACAACCAAAGCCTTAAAAATAATTTTAACAAATTGATCATCAAAAGAGGAGGAGAAGGAAAAATAAGAGAGGAATGCAAATGAAGGCAAAATATTAAGGGAGAATTTTTTTATTCCTAGTGGGTAAATTATAAATGAGATAATAGAGGAAAAGCTTTATGAGTGTAAGAATAATGTTAGACAATAAATGACAAGGGAGAATACAGGATCACGTTCATAGAAGGCATTCTTAAACTTAAGAACAGTTTAAGAATGGGAAGCAATGGAATAAGTGATGCACAAGCATTCCTTCAAAGTGCAGATGCTCTATACGAGTATGCATGCTTTTGCGATTCACTAGGTAATATCTTGTTAATTCCTCACAGTGAATCATGCCTTGTTTGCATGTTGGATGAAGGGATAAAAGGGAAACCATAGAATGTCTGTGCTCTATTTCTACCTGCTCCTGAACAGGCTGAACGTGGACTGCAGTCATTGCTGTCCTTTTAGCAGTTTGCTCTACAACAGCTGGAGCTGGTTCTCTCACCATTGCTTGATCCACAGCAGCAACAACCGTAGCAACAGCTGCTGTTTTTTCACTGTCTTTTCTCACCTATATTAGTCACATCAAAAGACATTTTTTCATGTTTTGCATACATTCAGAAGAAGCACAAAGCAGGTACAGAGACAGAATATTGCAAAGAAGCATTTAAATATTTGCAGCAGAAATCTCTCTCAACAGCAGATACACTCACGTCTTTATACACAGCCTCTCAGATTCCATTTAGCAGATCTATTCAGCATTGGTGAGTCCACACATAAAGCAAAATCAATGTTTTTTCCTAAAGTAGACTTTACCTCTCTAGCACCAGCTGCAACTTCACCAGCAGTAGCACCACTAATGGTAACTTGTTCTTGGACCTCGTATCTCCCCTCCCATCTTTCTTCAGTTCTTATTTGGGTAGCACTTGTAGATACTCTTTCTTCTTTCATCTGGGCTTCTGTGGTTGCAGTATATCCTTCCTGCTTCCAAGGAGGAAGGACTTCAGGCCCAGCTGTTGTCACTACATGTGTTTTACGGATTGGAGATGGAGATTTCACTGGTCTAATAGGTGAGGTGGAGAGTCTTCCAGCAGGAGAAACTGACCTAATGGAAAAATAAAGTATGAATATAATGAATGTAGTGTTATATAACAACAACTATATAAACAACTTCATCCTGAACTTGAATTCATGCCCCATTTCAGGTATCTTCAGTACTTTGTAGTTTGATTTTTAAAAAAGTTTTTAAGGTGTTCTACTTGTAAATTACACTTTCCTGGTTTTAACATGCCTAATTAATGTGTGTTTTTGTCATACGCATAACAGTAACATATCTTTGTAGTAGCTTAGTTAGATTTCCAAAGAGAAATAAGGGCAAATGTCAAAGAGCATTTCACTTAAGCACATATATTTAAAATCAGTAGTTTCCATTTGGTCTATCTTAATTCTCCTAATAGGAATAATATAAAAGGCTGACAGGCTGTATTACATATTCTATTTTTGGCCCAGTCTCTGTAGAGAGACAAAATCATTAGCGTAACTGCTCTTTGTAAAAATATAATGTGGCAGCCACCTAGCAACAGCATAACTGTATCTACTCCTGCACCACATTTAATTTCCATGTGTCTTTCATATATGTGTTCAGACTCCAGGCAAGATTCTGGTCATGGCCTATATTTTTTCCCATACTTACATTTACAATTCTCAGCCACAATAATTGGCAGCCACTTGAAAGTGCTAGTTTATAAATTTTGATATTCCAAAAATTCAATCCCAGTCCTAGCATATAGTTTTAAAGCATTTTTCAAAATGCTTTAGAAGGCTTTCTAACTTAGATTTTCTTTGAGAGGAATTTTTTTATGCTGTTTCCCAGATAATGTTAACAAATTGCAGTAGGGGGCAGCAGCATTATATTAATGTTTAAATTTTTATTTCTAATGTGTTGTATGTCTAAAAGTGGTTTGACTAGCAGGGGAGTACTAACTTCTAGTTCCATATACACTCTAGATGGCACTATTGAATTATTCTTTCACCTATGCATGTTATTAGGTATTGCTAGTTATTGCTACCAATCCATTTCTTCCTGTCCTTGCAAGTTATTCTCAACAGGGTAAAATTCACCAGCATACCTAGCTCTGGCAATTTAAATGGGGCTCTTCTAAGCACTCAACTTGGAGAAATTCTTGCCATGATGCTGGTGCTTCAGGATGCTGCAACTGCAGGACTTCCAAAGCAAATTTCTCTTTACATGTCTCTCAGCACAGACCTCCTGGGGTCTTCTAGACCACAAGCTCTGCTCTTCAAATCACTTACTTTCCCTCTCAAGACCCTTTATGCAGCAGAGCCAAACATTTTTCCATAACCACATTTACCTTGCCAACTTTCAAAACATTATTTCTGCACTCATTACCAGCACACACCTAGATGTGCTCACTTTTTTTACATATCCTTCCATTCTGTTTGCCACTCACCAGAGTATCACTGCTCTTTACTCTGTTAATCTAAAATAATCAAGGGTCAACTGCTCTACTCTTTTCACCTCTTTTATCATGAACTTGGGGCTTTGAATGTGACTTCAGCTATATGTAGAGCAATCAAATGAGATTTATTCTCTAAAGGATTTTCTTCCATATGGGATAGAAAATTTACTTCAGAAGCATGCATTTCCATAGCAGTGACAAACATAGCACATTATGGCTCACAGAGTAAACTCAGTCAGTATTAAGTCAGTGCATCCTTCCATTTTGTACTGTGCTCTCATTCTACAGCATTACTGTTATTTGTGAAAGTGATTAAAAAAGCAATCTTGTTTGAAAGAATAATAAGTTTACCTTACTGGAGAGGGTGTTGGTGCTCTGACATGTCTTACAGGGGACGGTGATTGCCTAACAGGTGATGGTGATTGCTGTCGTGCCATTTGTGCTTTTGCAGCAATTATTGGTGGGGTTGGTGATTTTGATGTAGGTCTAGGAGGCATTCGTGGAGGTGCTTTGTGTGGGAGCTGTTGGGCTGTTGCACCTTCTATGACTGTTTCAACACTTGTAAGTGATCTGGCATCAAAGTGGGCTTCAATCTTCTACAATGAAATCAAGAAAACAAGTCTGAGGCACTGTAGAAGTAACAATCCACATTTTAGCCTTACCGGCTTTCTTTTTGAAAAATATACCTTTTCAATTCTGGCTTGTCTTGTTTGTGAAATCTGAGCAGTCGAAACAATTGTCTTTGTCTTTTTAGCAGGAACGGCTTCTTCCTCACCTTTTGGAAGAGAAAAAATGGTCAGGAGAATTGCATATGGCAACAAACAATAAGCAGTTGCAGAAATTAATGAATGATCAATTCAAATTATATACAAATGTATATAAACAGGGAAAGAATTAAGCAACCATCTGTTTTTCCTGCAGTATCTATAGACAGATAATTGTGAACACAGTTGAAATAATATTTCTGCATTATTATGTAATTAGAAAAAAACTCCAAACAAACCAAAACACATTTATTGTAGATTCTTCAGAATCAGTCCTGGATCTCAAATGACTACACAGGCTGGAAGCCTGACTGAGGTGAAATCCAAGCAAGACTGTTCTGGGTAGAATGTTTCACAGCTACAATTCTCCTCTATCCAAGAACTGTTTTCATTCTTACCAGGCTCATTTACAAGACCATGTACAGTTGTGCAGTCTAATATATCTATTCTATCAAAGCCAGCTGACAAACTTTGAGAAATCTACAGAACAAAGTGGGAACAAGTGAAAACATCCCCCACTTTTTTTCCTTTTACTGTATCCTCAGCTTAAAGAAGAGCCATTCTGAATAAAAGGTTCCTTTAAACTCTCAGACAAAAATCTTTGGCAAAGTTCAGCAAAGACACTGCTTTTTCACAGCAAGTTAATCATAGAATGGTTTGGATTGGAAGGGACCTTAAAGATCATCTAGTTCCAGTCCCCCTGCCATCAGCAGGGACATGTTCCACTAGATCAGGTTGCTCAAGGCCTCATCCAGCCTGGCCTTAAACACTTCCAGGGAGGAGGCATCCACAACTTCCTTGGGCAACCTGTTCCAGTGTCTGACCACCCTCACAGTGAAAAACTTCTTCCTAATATCTAATCTAAACCTCCCCTCTTTCAGTTTAAACCCATTTCCCCTTGTCTTGTCATTAGAACAAGTTAATAACTTTTGAGAAAGAAGTTATAAGTGAACATGTTGATATAACTTTGAAGAAGTGGTGCATATTGTACCATTACAACAATGAATGCTCTCTTATTTTCATGGCTTGCAACTTCAACTCTATTACCTTGAATTAGCAATTCAGCTGTTGAAGTAGCACGTCCCACATTATTTGTGGCATTTACTGAATAAGTACCGGAGTCTTCAGGATATGCTTCTGCAATTATTAAGCTGTAAAGGTCTCCTTCTTGTAAAATTTGAAAATCGGGGGAGCTTTGGATTTCTACTCCATCCCGATAGAACTTCACCACAGGTGTAGGGATTCCAGTCACTTTCACGTCAAGTCGAACTTGACTTCCCTGCCTTGCAGTCATGCTCTGTAGTCGTTGTGAGAAGTTTGGTGGTGCTGTTCCAGCTGCAGTTTTATTGAAGAAATAAACAGAAAAACAATAACGTCTGTTAAAAAGAACTGTAAGGCTTAAATATTTTAATTACTAGAAGTGTACAATGTCTACTTCTTCTTCACATACTACTGACAGATTATACTATCTTCTCAAACATTCAAAACATTGAGTTGACTTGCCAAAATGCAAACACCTTTAACTTTTCCATGTGTTTAAAATTTCTGATATTTCTGATTATGCCCACAATTGCAAATGTTTCTAGAATTAGATATACATTGATTATAACCATAAGTAGTAAACACATTCTCTTGGGTATGGCCCTTTATGTGCGTTATTCTGTTAAATATAATTTATATCATTAAACATCATTAAGGGCTCCATCCTACATAGTTTTATCTTTTCTTTTATGTGTAGATTGAATGTAGCCCATGTGACAGATCACATGGGCAGAAGTATACAGGGCTAAGCCAGAAGTTTGTAATTGTGATTAAGAGTTTATAAGATCAAGATTAAACTTTATACTGTTAACATGTAAAGGATGCTTTTAGAAATTACTGGTGAGAATATATGCCAAATTTCAGGCTACTTTAGGAAGAAGAATTTGGTTTGATATTTCTTTGCTAATCATGTACTTAAAATCCAAACTTTTTTCATTATCTGTGACACTCCTATTGCTCTCTTTCTCACATTGCTGGCAGAGAGAGGTGCCTTTCTTTAGCTGCTTGGTACCTGTGACAAGTAGCTCAGCAGTACTAGTTGCTTGCCCAGATCCATTGGTGGCTTGTACGGTGTATCTTCCACTGTTTGCTTCTGTCACGGTGGGGATCACCAGTTTAGCGCGGCCATCACTAAACGAGATCTGCACACCGGGCAGAGTTGCAGCAGAGAGAACCTGGCCATCCCGATACCAGCTCACCTCGGGAACTGGGAAACCTAAAGAAAAAGGAAGACAAAAGGAGATTAAGATGCTATGAAATGTCAGATATCCAAAATTACCATAATACTAACTCATGTATACACAGTTATGGTAGAGTGTAATGGCACAGGTACAGATCTATGATCATACGTTCAGTGACACAGTAGTAAGATAATTTCTCTAAAAAAATGACAGAGCAATAGAACAACTGCACAGGCTACTGTATTTGGAAAATCACTTGAATAAGGAGTGGACTGTAGCATTTGGCAGTCCTGCTGAGGAATCAAAATTATGAGGGGGATGAATGGATGCACTTGAGGTGTTTTTTTGTTTTGTTTTTTAATTTGTTTGCTAGTATCTAAGTAATATTGCTAACAAAATTATCTATTCCAATAGTTTGGAGACCAGGTAAAAATCAGAACTTCCAACCAAATAGTTGTCCTAACGCTAAATGATTTTATAAAATGAAGTGGCAGAAAAAGTGACTGTTGTAGACATTCACATCAAGTGCTATTAATGTTTTGGGCTTTTGTTTTTTTATCCTGGAGTCAATTCTGCTTGAGTTTGGTGGAAAACAGTTATCTGGAATCAGTTGATCTGTTGTTGCTCAAATATATTCTTTTGTTGCCAGGGTCATGAGCTAAGACTTTTCTGGCCAGAAGAGTTTCATCCATATCTACAGTTGCTTTTTAGCTTTAAATGGTGTTTTTTTCATTCCTAGTGGAAATTCTCTTCCCAGTGTTCTACTCAGCCAAATTTATTGAGCAACTGAAATCCATTTGATGAACAGGTAAAATTTTTATATGAGCCACATATAGATAACAGCTAATTTAATGGGACAGTTCCAGCTCAAAGTCTTTTTTGTAGTTCTAGAACACCATTTCTCCACAAATTTACTCCATGTACTTCTCCACACAAGCCAAATCACCAATCACATTGCACAGGAGCTCAGGAATGGGATCTGAAGCTGCACTTACTAAAGCCACTCTGATTTTCCCAGTTCCACCCTCTGTGCTTTGAAAAACCCCAGGACCACAGGATTCTGCTTCCTTTCTAGAGTATTCTTCCTTTCTAGAGTATAAACTAATTTAATTATTTGGGGTTTTAATGTGCCAGGAATATGACTGTGTGAGACTAAAGTGAAAGAGAGGCTGAGATATGTAGATTGAAGCTATTACTGGCTGTCTACAGTCACATCAGACTTAGGAAAGTTTGAAATTTTACTTACAGTTGAAAAACTGCTTTTTAGATATATGTAAATAGAAACACACACACAGAGAAAGAGAATGTGGCCAGTTTTAGAGAGGATTAGAAATCAAAAGGGTAAAAGTACAATCAACCATTGTTAATGTCACAGATGAAAGTTATCAAATAGCCCTAGTGGGGTTGGTACAATTCAATTTTGTACAACTGCTATAGGACAACTTCGGCATTATCACCATGAATAGAGTATCCAGCAGATCTCACTGATTTAATCCAGAGCTATGTGTCTTCAACATTTGTGCAAATTAGTTTCAAAATGTTTTAAGCTAGGCAACCAAAAATCATATTGTCAATAGTTAATTTCTTGAAACACTGACAAAATGTTTTATTTTCTTGGTACAGCATCATATGATGATTAGCAAACATGGTAGGTTGAACAAGGCCTACATTTTTAAAAATAATCTGTTTTGCAGTCTCAAACTGGTATGTTCAAGTGGTCCAAAGTTAGGAGCCATTTTAAAAATCTGAGCCCAAATTCATATTAAAAGAAATTCAACTTCACAATTTTACTAGCACTCTGCTAGTCCTTTGCCATGAAACTGGGGATTAAAAGGTAAGATCTACTTCAGATAATAGGTATTTTTGCCTGGACTATATGGAGTAGGGATTTACTTTTATATGTGCCAAATTATGCTATGATTTGAATATTAATTATTAGGACATTCTTTTTCATTTTATAACTGTCTTTGGGGTTTTTTTTTGAGCTTTATTGCCAAAAGAAGAAAATGAACTTGAAGTACCTCAACTTCACTGCTTAAGTAATTGAATTCAGTTAGATTGCTCTCACAATTACGTTAAGTGACAGGAACTGCCAACCTGTGTACAATCTATGTACTGCTTTCAACAAAATGCAGAGTTTAAAGGCTGGCTTGCACTGGGCAATACCTGAAAATATTGGTTCAAAGAAGGTTAAGTGGAATACAGGTTAGTTTTTTTATGAACAAATTCAATACTTAATCAGTACTGTGGAGAAATGAGATTTGGCACAGATCTAATGTCAACAGCACTGCAGACCTTCTCAACAGTGACGTGCTGCCTCATGTCCCCTCAGTTACTGCTAACCCATTAGGGCTCCCCTTGTGATGATGTCCTAGCTGCTCTGGCATTTACTGCTTTTAATCACAGAATTTATGTCTTCACTTTCTGAGTGCAGGGGGAGGTACTGGATGTTTTATCTGATATCAGGCCTTTGTAATGTGGCACTTCATTCACAGTCTGATACAACAGTACAATTTATTTGTTCTGTTTTACAAACTGAAAAATTGTATCTCAGGTGGCTGCTAAGCTCTTCATAGTATTCTTAGGTTAACTGGGCTCTTCACATTCGAATTGTAGCTCTGTATTAATACTTGACTTGTATATAAAAGCAGTGTTATTGGAGATAAACTGAAAGTCTGAACTTCAAATTCACAATAATTCATGACAGATACGAAGGGTAGACAATGCAGCAGAATAAAGCTACATAAAAAATGTGTCATCCATTACTTATGCAATTAGTTTAAGAAATAAAACTTCAATATTTTTTATGCATTAGAAAAACAAAGTGCCAAGCCACTGTCAGATCTGCCAGTCTTCGTGGATGCTTTTGGGGCAGGGAAGATATTGAGAATCCCACAATGTGAATAACAGCTAAGAGGAGATTGGCTCACATGCTATTAGGGACTAAAATACAAATATGGTATATGCTATTAGAAAAAGTGCCATATCTCCTATTAGTAAGAAATCAAGTTCTCCCAAGTACTCCATGATATCGCACAAATGAAAATAGCCAAAATCACATATTGAGCCATAATATTAGCATCCTAACCTGTTTTGATATATTTTGTAATAATATATATATATTTTGTAATAATATATATTTTGTAATAATAAATATTGTAATCATCAGTGGAAAAAAACTTTTCATAGAAAATTCACAGTGCAGAGACAACAAAAAAAGGTCAGGACAATTAACTGAAGAGTAGAAAGCCAACTAAGAGAATAAGGCATGGAAAAAAATCATAGGTGTAGACTACAGGACAGGTTCAAACATCTTGTATGAACCTTGTGTGAGACAGTGTTACCCAAAGGGACCAAAGGATGAACCACAGTGGATTAGAGATATCAGAGATCTTTACAGTTGGACGGATCATGTGTTTGCACCTGTCACAGAGCATCTGAGTAGTGTTTTATGGTATGTGGATCATCACATTGCTAATGCCTGTAAGACAATATAACAATCCCTGAGCAGGAACACGTGTCATTTCTCCTTAGTCACTGCTGAGGTCAGAGGCCCTCTTAGAACAGGGTGTTGGTTATCTGGTAAAGTTATCTTGGGAGTTTGCATGGGGGTTTGCACAAGATCGGGTGTTTTGATAGTGTGTAGACTGGCAAAATGAAGTATCCTTTAAAATTACATGGAATCTTTAAATTACATCAACAAATTATGTTAATCCAGCCTTGTGCTACCATCATGATCAATACACTCATCTACTATCCAGCAAACTACAGTTTTCTACCCTCTTCAGTGGCCACATGGACCTAGATTTTGCGCTTTTAACCCCCCTGCTAGAACTCTAGAATCAAGTAAACTCAAGGACACAGAAGGTAGAAAAACATTTTAGCCAGAGTAAGGCTCAGCACTAGGTCAATGAATATGCCTTGCCTTTTGCACCTTGACGTCTCCTTCTGTCTGATCATCATCCAAACAAGATTACTCTCTCTGCACCCATATGAAGTTCCCTTATCAGCACAGTATGTATTTTTATGTATATACTTTTACTGCTATTTCCTCACAGTTTTGGCAATTCAGCCTGAGAATTAGACACCAGTCTCATTGGCAGGATGACTAGCTATTCCCTGGGAAGCCTTGTAACTTTATGCAGTACGTTTCTGGATATGTGACAGTACCTCACAGAGCTCAACAGTACTCTATGATGTGTATACATATATTCCCATTTCAGCACTGATCTTTACCCATTCAGATCAGATTATGATCTATGAAAAGTGTTATCATTTGTTTTAGCATAAACATTGTAAAAAATGATAACACAAATAATCAATCTTGCAAGAAAGAATCAAAACCTTACCACTGATATGAGCCTCAAAGGTTGCGGCACTACCCTCCAGTGCCACAACACTTTGCAGTGGCTGCGTAAATGTTGGTGCTTTTGTCGTCATCTTTACAGGCACTCTGAAAACAACAAAAACATAATTAAATATCAGTGGTGAAATTGTTATACGCACATCCTTTTTGCTAGATTTTAGGAATATTTGTCATTATTTTTGTAACCATTTACTCTTCTCAGTTTTAAATTACATTGACCTGGTGAAATGTGAAGACTGTAGGTTTTCAAAAAGTTGCATAGCAAATTACTCTAGGGCACACTTGGCTAAGTTGTATGTGAAACTGTTATATTTAGTGAAGCTGTGATTTGGCATTACAAGTATGCAGCAGGAGAAAAAGTTCTGCGTGACTCATTGCATGACCTTGTGCAGGTCATCTAGCCTTTGTTTGTCCATTAATCTCCTTTACCTAAAGAGAAAATAATCTCCATTTAATTTTTTTTAATGTTTTGTTGGTGCAAAGCATTTGCATTCTCCAATGGGAAGACAACTAGATCGAAGTAGCAACTGAAAAAAATGTGAAGGTCTACAACCTATTTGGCATTTAATAAGAGAAAAAAATGCCAGGAGGATCTCTTTTAAAAGTAGTCTGTAAGTAGTGAACAATTTCATTTTACACAGAAGCATATTGGCATTAAAGATGCAGATAAAATTCTACTCTTTCTTAGAGAGTATGTCAGTGGAATTTTGAATATGGGAAGACAGCCACCTTTGAAATGTGAGCTAAGATATAAGGTAGCCAACTGACACTGATGGTTTAAACAACTGCAGATCCATATGAAATCTGAAAAAAAAAATAGTGTGCTTTCTCTTTCTATGCCACAAGATCCTACTTTGAAATAGCACACTGACACTCTGTATCACGAGTACTTTATATTTGCATGAACATATTTACTGATTTTGAATTGTGTAGGTTTAAAAAATGTAGCTAGTACCTTAATGTATCATACATCTATTAATGTTACAATTTCTCATTAAAAAAATTCCCCTGAGAGCATATCATGTCTTACTAAACGAGGGTTAACCTCATAACCTTCTCAATCAATCTCTCTCTCAGATTTACTGTTGTTTAATTTGGCTTTTGCACCTCATTTTGTGACAGTCCCAAGCTTAACTGAAAAAATAAAGAGAAAGAGAAGTTTCTTTCACTATGAGCCAAATATATGCTACCTTTCAAAAGGGTGAAATTTCTTCATGACATGAATTCCTTCATTGAAATCAGTGCCTGATATCTACATAGAAAAGTTGCGCAAGAGTAGACCTAGATATTGTAGTGGGATGTTGAGCTGCTTTTTATTGCCTTTACTGGTTATGTGGATGCTTGTTCCAGCTTGACAGAGGAATGGTCTTTCATCAGAGCTTTTCAGTTTTGAGAGTGGGGGGAAATGAGTTCAAATTAGACAGAAATGACCAACATTTCATCCTAACACAACATTAGTTTCTGAAAGGAAAATAAAGACAAATCTCTTACATATAATTCACTAAGATCTACTTCAGTTATAACTACGTTTTGAAGCTCAGCTAAAATATATGGAAATAATCTTACAATATAATTCAATATTTTATGTGTATATATATATATATATATATATGTAATTTCCTGACTCCAGAATAGATTCTAAATCATTTAATTAAGCAGAATTGTCACTGAGTTCACACAAAGTTTATATATTTCATTGTCTAGGCAAATTTCAGTGATGAAGATCTGATCTTATATGGCTTTTTGTATAATTAGAATTGAAAGTATGCATCTGAAATGTCATGTTCCAGAAATAACCTTCCCAGCTATGAATGACAGCAGACAAGTGTTCCAGAGCTGCCATGTAATTGATACCTTAGCAGTTGATTCCCTTAAAAAGTCATCAGCGCTTAGCTGATACCATATGCATTTTATCAGAGCTATTCTTGGAGCTTCTCAGTTTATCTCTCAGTAGCATAACCTTGAACACTCCCAAAAGAAAGGAGTTTTTAAGTTAAGCAGATGGTTCCATCTGTTTTTCAAATCTTAATTTCTATGGTCTTTAACAATAAATATAAAAACTTTTTGCTGAATGTTATCAAAATTTAGTCCCAGAAATTTAAGACATAATCTTGCCAGAGAATTTAAGTGCTCCATGTCTATACTCTGAAACCTATACCCCACATGAGCAAATTTATAAATAATAGATCATATCAGGATTATTAATGACTGATAAAATACTCATTACACTAGCAGAAACATGCTACTAACCTGATCTCTCAAAGTGCCTGTAAGAGTGGGCTAAGCCCAACGAAATCTTCTTGAACGACGTCCTTATCCAGAGTAAGATTTTTTTAGACAATCCCAGCATGAGAATTGTAGAGCCTCTAATCATAAAAACAAAACTACACAGTCTTGACAGTGTAGTTTTGTTTTTTTGCAATCCCTACACCCGAGGCGAGGCGGGGAATGCACGACTGCTCAGAAGTGTTAACATAGTTGTTTTGCTTTATATACCCCAGCTCTGCTGACAGGTCTGCCTCATCATGTCAGTGCCAGTTCTGATTGGTTTCCTAAAAGAAAGTATCTTGTGAGAGGGGATCCACTCTGTGTAACCATACACCACCTTTTGGTTTGACTGACAATGCCAATTTTGGAAGCACAAAAGGGATTCACTGAGGAAAAAATCATCTGTTCCAAAGATTTTTATTTATAATTCACTTTCATCTATAATGTGCAGTTTATAAGCCATTGCAAATTTCCTAATCATAAGAACAAGATGATGAAAGTAATAAAGAAGCATTTCAGCAGAGGATACAGACAAGTCAGGAGTAGTCATATCAGTGAGATTCAGCCTTACTTTCTTTCACTATAAAACATCCAAGAAGCTACCAAATGCATCTGTCAATCACCAGACTAAATAAGTAAGCTGAGCTCAGACATGTGGCTGCACACTAGAATACACTGTTTAAATTGTTTTTTCCATAACTTTCAATTCTAAAATTGTATTTGGAAATATAAAGATTTGGTGCTCTTTTTTTTTTTTTTTTTTTTTTTTTTTTCTCCCCTTCACAATTTTTCTGTTGGATGTTCCAAGCAGTTAAGGTTAACAAACAATAGCATACAAAGTGTGGAAATATAAACTCTGTTAAAGTAAACTAACACAGACAACTACAGTAATTTCTAAAATAGAAGACTTTAAGTCTAACATCTTTTTTTCTAGACCTGTGGAGGCCTTCTACAATCATCCATGGAATAGCATATTGGTTGGTGAACTTCCACTAGCCCAGCTTCATCAGTCTATGCAGCTAGTTGTACCATTAGATTGGTTGTCTCAGCTGTCAGAATTAGAAGACTACTCTCATCTATAGCTGGAACAGGAGGTGTTTTACCACAACACCACATCTGCCTGCTGCCATTGTTGCCTTCTTATTCAGAAATCCTTTTCCTTCCCTATGGTATATAACACATATCTAGCAAACTCTTTAAGCACGTAACTGGCTCACAAGACTACTTACATGCTTAAAGTCAAGCACTTGCTTAGCTAATTTGGTAAATGGAAGACTTCAGTCTGCTGTTACCAAGATCCATATTGAAAAGGATCTCCCAGAGGATACCTAGAGAAGCAAACACAGCTGTACTTGTGTTTGAACACAACCTGAAGGAAACCTCCAGCAGGAACCACAGAAAATGGAGAGAGAGAATATGATTCCTGCAAGTGAGTACTACAATATAATTTGTGGATCTGAAGGAAACAAGAAAAGACATATTGCTATGATCTCATAAAATAACTTCAGAAATTGGATCTGACCTTTAGTTTACCCGTCCCATAAGTTAACTTTATGACTACTCTTAGCATGCAGCAGTAACAGCAGCAACAGAAACTGGAGGAATAATCTCTACACTGGTACTATCTGAACTCTCAGAGGTTGGGAGTCAGAGTACTATGGCTCATTTTTAACTTTTTGTTGCAAATAGATGTCAGAGAGCCTAATCTCCCTGAATAAGACTTAGTATAGTAACAAAGGCAAGTCTTCACATTAGTGGGGAGGACAGGTTAGCTCTACTAAAAGACAAAATATGTCCAAAGAAATCTATGTAAAGGGTATCTAATTTCTGATTCTAAATCAGATGCTAAATTAGCATATGGCTGGTTTTCTCTATATTTGAACACTCAAATATTCAGTGAAAAATCAAACTTAGAGAAAGAACACAGGTTAGTATCTATCTGCAAACTTAATAAACACAACCAGTTTAATGACTATGTCTAAGTCAAATAAACAAAGAAAAGGTTTATGAACATGTGATAACTTCTGAATGACAGAAATGTGCAAACTGTCACTTCTGAAGTTATCAGATGGTCAGAAATCCAAATTTTTCTATTTTAATCGAGTCAACAACAATTTGTGACAATAATAGAAAGTTACAAGGAAAAAAAATTGCTGCATTCAAATATATAAACCAAATACAATGTATTTTTAATATAAGTTCCCTATTTTTGTAAGTTTTATGTTTGCTTTTGATCACTACTAAATCTATTTCCATTCCAACAAAAGTTCATACCTTCTCAACTTTTTACTTCTGCTGGTGAATTCAGAAATTGAACAGCGAAATATTTCTCATGCTCTCAAGGACATATGAAATATTTATATCACATGCCTTCTGTTAACAGAATAACTATCAGCCCAGTGTGATTTCTACATGTTTAGTAGAAGGATGACTTCAGTCTTCTTATCATGTAGCAAAGATACTGCTGGTAAAAGCTACATTATTTCTTTGCTCCAGGATCAAACAAAAGTCAGATCCAGATAACAACAAAGACATTTTTTTCAGGCAGACATACAAATTGGGGATTGTTATGAAAAATTTCAGCATTTACTTCAGTCTGATATTGTTTTAAATATAAACTATATATTTCCAATATTACTATAGTATACATCTTACATTGTAGGTCAAAAATAAATTTAAGAAATAGCAGGTAAACTTTCACACAATGAAACACTGTGGGTACCAGCAATGATTACTTTAGTAGGCCCACATGAAGATGCCTTGAAAGTGTAAGATTCTAATGAGAACTTAAATTCCTTCTTTCTTGAACAATGAAAGCTTCAAACTGCCACTTAGGCAAGTTTTCAATGTGCTTTCCTGAAGCAGAGTTTCCTAATTCGTTTTTTATAAAAATCACATCCTTTTCTTCATTATTTGTCAGATAGCAATAGTGTACAGTTTTCTCTTTTTGAAAAAAAATTTGCTTTCCCTCCTCCCATCCACTTTCATTCTTTACACTTAGAAATAACTAAAAAAAAAATCTTACCTGTTAAACCATTAAATCCTGACCTGAAATCAAAATACATCTCCACCACCTTCACCAACTTCCCTTCCCCTGCAAATGCTATGAACACTACTTTGTTATGACACCTTTAGAACCTTAAATAAAGGCTACAAAACACATTCTATTCACAAGAATATCCACATTTGTGTACAGCAGTTGAATTCTGATAAGTTGCAGCATTTTCAGTTGCTAACGTCTCTTATCCGCGCTATTGTAATTGATTATGCAGGATATATCACAGAATCACCGGGGTTGGAAGGGACCTCAGGAGATCATCTAGTCCACCCCCCCTGCCAAAGCAGGTTCCCTACAATCCTTCTGCTAACGCAGGTTCCCTACACCAGGTTGCACAGAAAAGCATCCAGGAGGGTTTTGAACATCTCCAGAGATGGAGACTCCACAACCTCTCTGGGCAGCCTGTCCCAGTGTTCCGTCACCCTCACAGTAAAGAAGTTATTCCTTACGTTTGTACGGAACTTTCGGTGTTCCAGTTTTTGCCCACTGCCCTTTGTCCCGTCACCGGGTACTGCTGAAAAGAGCCCGGCCCCATCCATTTGGCCCCCACGACTCAGGTATTTATAGACATTGATAAGATCCCCTCTCAGTCTTCTCCAGGCTGAAGAGTCCCAGCTCTCTCAGCCTTTCCTCATACAGGAGATGCTCCAGGCCCCTCATCATATGAATCATTTTCAATACAAACTAAAACTTTGCTTCCGGAAAAGTTTTACTTGTTACTGGAGAAGGCACCATCAGTTGTTCCCAAAGCAGAAAAGACAACTAAGGCACTAACCAATTTTTGAAACTATATTTTAGCTATTTCATCTGTGAAGAATTACTGGGAACTGTGACTGAAGTTGAAAGGGTATAGAATACTTATCAGGGTTCATATTCACTGACTTCATGTTGATAATTGTCACTCATAATCTCCTTGGAAAAATCTAAGGAGAAGATTTACAGACATCACTTTTCCTTGTGTATTATTTCTTTATATATCATCCCTACACATTTACATGAGAACAAGGAAGGAATAAAAATGTTACTTAGCACCTCATCTTAGAAAACAGGACCCTACTAACAAAACCTGAGATACTGAGTAAAAATATATTTACTAACTGTTCCACTTCCTTCCACAAAACAATAATTAAAATCATAATAGTGGACAAATTTTAATTAGCATTGAGATACTCCTTAGAATATTACAGAAACATGCATCTTGTAAAATTTCACAGACCGTTTAACAAATTTATAGGCATCTATGACTTATAAAATGAAAAGGAACAAGCACACTTACCATGTTCCAGAACAGATCCATTCCCTGGGAACACTTGGCACAATAGCTGTGTTCCTCATTGGCAAAAGAATGTTACTGGATTTTTTTGTTTATATGTTTATAAATACCACTTCCTACTATTGTAAGAAAATCATAATGATGAACATATATAAAGATTCCTGTTTTGACTCACGTATTATTTAGAAAAACATTAAGTTTTTTTTTTTTCTTAGGTAAAATCATGTTTTATGAATCAAGGGGAAAAAAAAAGCCCACCTCAAATTTTAAAGTTCAAGTTGTTCTTACAGGCTGACAACCAAGATGAAAAGCAAGCAAAATCCAATCTTTAAATTTGCTGAGGAATCAAGATCAGCGGGTACTGAATTCACCATTCATTTTTACAGAAAGAATTTTTAAATAGGAAATCTTATATGCCATATTTATGGATTCCAGCTAATAGAAGAACATACATTTTAGGTTTGATTTTTTGGGGGGAGGAGATGTCTGATATGTACTTTGTCAGTCCTCTGAATGTGACTGCATTTAGAAACACAATATTTTCTGTGAAACCTTTAAATCTGAACAATATGTAGAAAGGAGGGGCTTAATCATCAGAAAGGTAATTGTATAGGATCCACAAGATGTTAGATATTTGTCTCCATTTCATTTTGGAAAAAACTGTTTATGAGAGATACAGGGTAAATAAGCAGAATAAGGACCTCAGTCCTCAGCTACTATATTTATGTGCACATATACACAGCCTTGTGACTCTACTACGGGCAGGATGCCATTGACTCTTCCATAACGTCAAGCAAGTGATTTATGTGATCAGGTGAAGACATGTACATGATATTTTTTTCAGCTCATTTCCTCTCTATGCC